TCAGAGAAACCTGATTTTTTCACAGATTATCTGGGAAAAAATGTACGCAGTTGTGTAAATGAACAAGTGATTTGCAGTTAGCAATTGTACTGCTAACTGTGTGGACTAAACCCGGCTACAGCGATGTGAACAACCTGCCCACAGCTTTTACAAAAAGTTATACAGAGTCGAATAATACCGTAAACCTTGCTTTTCTGCCAGCTGACAGCCAGAGACTGACCAGACGGACTGATGTGTTCACCCTGGATCTACAGAGTGGTGAGTCTTTATAGACTACATTTATGTCACTTTATGTTAAGCTTCAGATTGAATTGATGTGTGTTTTGATTGTTGCTGACTGAATGCAAACATAACTGGTTGCTGTGATCCCATAGATATACACGTATTAATATCTCTTCCACATATATGTTCCATACAGTATAAACTCCATTAATGTTTCTAAATACTCATGACACCTCACTGATCAACTGATCAACACAGGCTCATAATGATGACGTGAACAGTTATTATTAAAGTCTATGGAGGCCCATTCAGTCCCCCAGCACCTGTATACTGTCCAAACTCCATTCAAGTAAGTAGAGCAGAAGTCAAATGTTCACTTTTGTATGTCAAATGCACTTGGTATGGTTACATATATGAATGATGTACCATAATATATGAAAGCCTCATGTTGAAATGCTTTAAAACCTCCATTCATTCCCATTGTATAACTCAGCTGATACACTGAAGTGAGTGAGTTGAAAAGATTCGACAGTCATCCACAAATGATGCTAATCAGCATCAATGAGCACAGCAATCATACATTTTCTTCAGGAGAGGCTTCTCTAGTTTATTATATTCATTTATGATATTTATTATGAACGGCTAATTTATTCATAAATACAATTGAGCCCACTGATGTATGCTATGAAATGTAATAAATGGTAAAATATATTGTCAAACTACTATTGCCACGGTACAATGATCCTCCAAGCTCAGCATGTTAGGATGAGTTTCATTTATAAAGAGTTTAGACTGCTGGTCGGTGTATACAGGTAATATTACAGGTAATAAACGGTTAATAACTACATTTTAGGATTTGTTTGTGTGTGATCACATATTAAATGTGATTAAAGCTGTGCATAAATCATTAACTATCTCTTTATAGACCAGATGCTTCAAATGAGAAACTATTGTTGACAAATACATGAATAAGTATTTAAAATGTCCCTATATCTGCTTGCAACTAATTAACATTCTGCCAAATTCAATATTTTCCAGAGAACAAACAAGAAACAATGTGAATTTGTCCTGATGCTGACTGAAGAGAAAGATGAAGCACTGAACAGATGGAGGGATAGATGTCCTACCGTAAGTACTGCAGTCCATCCCAGTGTGTAAGGAGGATCAGGTGGAGGAAACTGAGACCACAAAGGGGGGAATGGGGCTTTTAATATGTTGGATGGGAGGGAAGGAGGGTACCGACTGTGATGGACAGCTGTCAATCCTGTGGATGTGGGAGGGGCAGGAGGGACAGGTCCGAGGCCAAGTGTGAAATCAACAAATCAGTTAATAGAGTGGGTGAGAAAATATCACAGGGCATTATGAGGCAATAACACTCTGTATATTTGGCTCTAAGAAATTGTAAAACTATCATACTATCATGGGGTGGCCGGAGCTGTAAATTAAATAACTGTGACACAAAGCAATGCCCCAGTACAGCTGGACACAGTCAGGACACGGGATCCAAACATGGTGCTGTTGTTGGAAATGACTAATGATAAATGTTATAACCGAGAATTGACGAGATCTCGGTTGAACAGGTATCCAGTACAGATAATCAGAGTGAAATGTTTCAATATCTGCACTTGTAAATACAATAACTTTTATTGAAAGAAATATATATTATAAATAGTTATAGTTCTAATAGCTCAGTTCTGAGGATGTTCTGTGAATTGTCGTCTCATAAATATCACAACTTCTGATCAACAGATATCAATTTCAGGCTTAAATTCACAATTTCTGTTTTATGAGTTTTAAGTGCTGCTCAATTCTGGTTTAAGCCCCACCCATCCAGAATACGGCCATTCACTCATTCAGCCTTTAGTTGCATGCAAAATCAGTAAGATTAATAAGCATATTTCTAAAATCTCCCAATGTTATCAGGTAATCCATATTATAAGTGCATTGTAGTTTGTTACACGAGTCCAGAGCCAAAAAATAAAGTAAACCTGGGAAACTACCATGAGGTCTGATAGGGAAGTGATATAATTAGGTTATTGGTTTAGGAGTTCTTTATAGATAAACACACACACACACAGATTCAACATTTTCAACAATAGAGATCATTTAGTTGGTTGAACTCAAATTATTTTGCCATATATTATGCAATTAAAGTAACCAATTTAAGCTAGCTGGCTAACATATGCTCAGCAGCGGTACAGTTATAGTTCTTTCAGGTTAGAGCCCCTTAAAATGTCTGTGCACGTCCCTGTACGTCTGCAGAATCACAACTTTTATTTGCTGATAGGTTACAATAGAGAATTCTAGTGTGATTACTGAACTCAATAAATTTGTTTTTGGTATATCAGCATCATAAATTGAATCAGCTATGTCCATTTTGATTCAAAAATAGGCTCCCTGTGGCAATTTATCTATTTATTTTCACATATCATTTTAACTTAGCGTTTTTTTTACATTAGACATGTAAATTCACAGGCTATTTTGTAATTGTATTAATGATTCCATTAAAATGTTAAAAATCTGTAAAATTGATGAGAAAAACTACGTAAACTTACAGATTTTGTTTTTACAGTGATAGGCAAAAGTAATTCTTACATTCTCCAATTGTAAGTGTGTAGCAATTACTCACAAAAAAAGAGCTTTAACAATTTTAATCAGATAATTCAATTCATAGTTCACCAAATGTTCACCAATATTAATAATAACAGAAAACATATATGCAGTTATTTATTCATTTATTTTTGGATCAGCCTTCCCTGTGGGTGCTCAGCCTTTATGCTAGGTAACAAACTCTCCCCAGAATTTTAAGGATTTTGTTTAGTTAAGTGTTTGGTAGTGTTCTGCCATTAGTCTCCAGAACAGCTTCACTGCTTATTTATTTATTTATTTTTTTAAGTATTTTTGGGGGCTTTTATTGCCTTTTATTGATAGCAACAGCTGAAGATAGACAGGAAAGGGGGGCAGAGAGAGAGGGGATGACACGCAGCAAAGGGCCACAGGACTCGAACCCTGGGCCGCTGCAACAAGGACTCAGCCTCGGTACATGGGACACCAGCTCTACCCACTGAGCTAACTTGCTCACTCACTGCTTCATGTCAGAGATTTTCCAACACTTAATGTTTCCATTCAGTGAGCCCACGTGCCCTACATCTGCATTCTTTATTTATGTTTTTATTCTCATTTGTTCAGAACTTTTCCTTAATTTGTCTTGGACCTCTTCTCCAAATCCATTAAGTTGCAGACAAAACAAAAACAAATAACATAGTAAAAAGGCCTCATTTAGCTAAGAATAGGGTCAGTTACCAACGGAGTAATTTACCATGTCATTTATTGTAGTCAGATTAATTAGCTTCCTCATTTCAGTGTTTGTACTAGTGGCTAAAGCAGACAGCTCAAAGTTTTTTCCCATCTCTGTTCTGCATTAGAAATAGACTGATGCACAAGTTTAACTCTGTATATTTCAATTAAAACAAAACAATCCAGGACCTATATCACCCTCTGCTGGCAGTCACAACCATGTGGTTCAGGCAGTGGTACGCCTCAGCACGTGCTTTATGGGTAATGTCTCTCTGCCATCTCCCCTGAGGACATTTTGAAGTGTAGAGCTGAAGTTCTGTGAAAGCTTGAGAATAATACATCCCAAACCACATCACAGGCACAGTTTGAATATAGGCCTATATCTCTCTGAAGGAGGATCAGTTTGGGCCCTGAATGTTAGATTTGTCAGATCACTGCAAAGGCGTTACTATTAACTGTGATTCTAAAAAATACAGAAGTAGAACAGAAATCCTGTGAATTAAAAATGTTATACTTTTGCTTTGATTATATGGTTATAGGAGCAGAAAATATTGTGACTAAGTTTTGAATTAGTATTTTAAATTTAAAGTAAAAGCAATTAATAATTAAAATAATTCAATTTAAAAATGTTTTAGGTATTAGTATTATGTAGCATTTATAAGCAATTCAATTCAGTTTTATTAAAAACGCTGCAGCACGAGTACTGACAGGAACTAGGAAGAGAGATTCAATTCAATTTTATTTGTATAGCGCCAATTCATAACAGAAGTTATCTCAGGACACTTTTCAAATAGACCAGGTCTAGACCGAACTCCTTATAACATTATTTACCCAACAATTCCCACCAGCAGTATGTATATTAGTGATGGCAACAGTCACCAATGTGCAGAGGTGCTGTGGAAGCGGGAGTTCCGGATATGATTGCTGGAGTGTGTGCTGATGCAGTTTGAGATGAAATTGGTTTCTCACATCTTTGCATCTGTAAAACCAATTTATTTATATTTAATTTATATTTATAGTTACTAATGTTGACATAACTTTATGACTAACAATTTAGTTCATTGATTTATTGTTGTTTTTAGTTCATATAGACATTTTAAGTGTTTATTAATGTACGTCATTTGTACATTACTTAATTGTGTTTTACTATATTGCCATCTGTTTATACAGCAGCTTCCACTTATGGATGTCTACAGGAGGAGGTTAAATGAATAACATAAATCTGCATACAACTACATTACAGTGTGTTATCAGCCATATATTGAATGTTTATATACTGCTTATACATTTTAAATAAGAGGGGTTAAAAGTTTGAATAAAAACTGTAGTCTGAAAACAGATCACATTTGTCCAGGTATTCTTTCTTTGGACCAGGATTGTTAGAGAAACCTTAGTCTTTCTTATCCTAAACCTTACAGGGACAGCTTTGTTTCTGTGCGTCACTGCAATGGTACAAAAGTGAATTGAGACATCTTGACAAGTTGTTGAAGTAGTTTTGTCATTTATTGACCAAAAAAAAGAAAAGCACTGACTGAGGTTCAATGGAGTGGACAGGTGTTTCTGCAGCTGGCACCACAGCAGTCAGACAGACAGTCATATGCAGGAGCTGAAGCAGGACAGTATGTCGTTACAGTACATCAATCGAACTGATACGCACAGTGCAATGGACTCTATGTTATACACACAAACAAACTACACAGAATACACACACCTTCCAAAGATAAATTCAGTCACTTAGGTTTTAGGCAGAGAAGGCTTTGTTAATTTCTAACACAGGCCACTTTTAGGAACAGAGTACAGTAGAATGAGACACAAACATGCTGAGGAGGTCACAGATAAACTGGTGCGTCAATACATCAGCATCGCACGGCTCCCCTGACCATTAATGATAATACACACACACAAACGGATATACTCAGCAAACACCATAAAACACTGACAGAGCAGTCTTTGAAAATGAAATATTAATAAGAACATTAATCTGCAGTGAATATGGAGGCATGGCTTCCTTCCAACACCATCCACTCACAGTGCTGCAGCGAGGCTGTGGTGCATGTTACCCACTGTGTGTCCCCTCTCTTCATTGGAAGACATGGGTTGGTTTAAAACCATAACAGTGCTGAGGTTTAATGGCATATTTGCTGGGTTTTTGTAGCCATACTGGCTCAGAAGTAGAAGGGGAATGTAGTTAGAATTCACCGTTCCTAAGTACCGCCCCTTTTTGCTCTGTGCTCCAATAACAGTTGAGCAAGCCTCGGTCAACTTCCTCCTCCCCTGTACATAAATGTGCTATGTGCTGTGCTCGTCTTTATTTAAAATACAACCACATTTTGAAGATGGTTGAAAGTTAAAAGCGACATATAGTCAAATCTGAAGTTAGCCAATGTTAGCAAACTAGCTCAATTAACTAGCTTATTAGCTAGTGTTTAGCGATCATTAAACTAGCCAGCTAATGATTAAAGTAAATTTGCTAGGTAGTTGGCTATCTATCTAGGTCTTTTATCATCTTAAGTTAGCTAATGTTAGAAAAACAAGTTAGATAGCATTTTGCTAACATTAGATAACTTCAGATTTGACTATATGTCGCTTTTAACTTTCAACCATCTTCAAAATGTGGTTGTCTTTTAAATAAAGACGAGCACAGCTCATAGCACATTTATGTACAGGGAAGGAGGAAGTTGACAGAGGTTCCAAAAAGGGGCGGGGTTTAGGAAGGGTCAACTGTGGTTCAAATCACTGCTGTGTGAAAACTGTAGTACGGGATTCTGAGTTGGATTAAAGATATAGTCTAACAAAATAAGGAAGTACGTCTTTAATGCTTTTACTACAACTGAAGAATCCCATGATTCCAAAGTAATTCAAGGCTTTCTCTTAGCTGCTGAAAGGCTGACGTGGAGTTACAAGGTTTTCACTCAACAGTGACAGTATGCATTGCTGGTGCACAGAGGAAAAAAAATACAGATTCTGAATAAGCCCATTTCAATACATGTTGGTGCAGGATGAACAGGAAGTAATAGAGGTTGTACAGAGGTCAGTGATGTAAAGAAACAATGCCACAGTACACAGTGAAAAAGCTACAGGGGTATTCACCAGTGGTCAGACCACATGGTGGGCTACAGTGAGGTGGGGGAGAGGCAGATAAGGTTTAGCGAGGATCATCAGGAGCGGCGATCTTCTCCAAACTGGGCTCCATGCCCCAGATCTCCCTGGCATACTGGGAGATGGTGCGGTCACTGGAGAATTTACCACAGCCGGCGATGTTATGGATCACCATCTTGGTCCACTCTTTAGGGTTCTGTTAACACACAGGGAGAGGAGGATGTAAAACAAGATTCCTCAGAGAAAATATATAGTAGTGTAGTTTAGCAAAGTACAGTAAAGTACTGTATACTATAGTACAGTACCCCATCAGGGGTTCCCAAACTTTTTCATGTGAAGGGTCCCCACAGAACATGCACATTAGACCAAAGAACCCCAGTTTGAGAGAATTTTGTCTTGCGGAATCCCCTTTGAGTCTTTTTTTTTTTTTTTAGGTTTAAAAATGATAAAGTTCATAAAAAAATTTGATAAAAGCTGGGGACCCCTACAAACCACTCAAGGACCCCTGTGGGTCCCTGAACCCTAGTTTGAAAACCTCTGCCCTATAGCATATATAATACAGTATAGTACAGCGCAGCACTATAGTGCAGTATAATGACATTATATTAACAACTGATTACAGTTATGTATGCCTTATTTATGAGCTGATGTTGGAGCATCCACACTGAGCCTGAGTGCAGTCACTTTGGTGTTCCCCCGATTTGCAGTTCCAGACAATTTTGTTTTTTTAATTACACATTCCTCTGGCTTAATAATGCTTCGATTGTAAAACACATGGACAGAAACATTTATGTCTAAACTTTGATCAAATATGCATTTTGGCTTTGCATGGTATAGTATAGTATAGTATTAATTAATAAATAATAAAATAATAAAATTAATATTAATATTAAGGTTACTTTATATGATCTTCCTTGCCATCTTTACTATTTGAGCTTTAGACATGAGTGTTGGTGATACCACAACGAAAGATGGACTCCATAGTAGCTCTATAAAAAATGCACTATATATTCCTGCAGACCAACTCAGTACATTAATGTATGGAAAACTGAAAAAGTTGTGTATAGTGTCATGTAGTACGTTATTGCCCTCTTAACTGATGGGTCACCACCCAAGAGTGTGTGGTCAAAAAAAAAAGTAAATCTTATTTTTAGTTATGATCATTTTATTCATAATCAATAGAATCAGCAGCATGCAGTTGATCATACTTTATTACCAGGGTAATGTGATCTGATTGCAGGGTGTATGTGTATATTTTATGTAAGAGAAGGTCATGATGGGTTTACTAGCCTATCTGAATACTTTTGTTGGGTTTGAAGTCTATAAAAGTGGGTTGCGACTTGGCTCATGTTGACTTCCTCTTGCTGATGTACTGACCTTATAGAGTGCGCTGACTTTCTCTTGACATTTGATGTAGTCTTCATAGTCGGCAAACACCTTGAACCTGCAGACATACAGTTCCACACAGATGAGATGAAGCATTCTAATATGAATGAATTTGAGACATTAATGTGATCCACAACTTTACATCACATAACTAAAGAAGTGTGTCATTGTCAAGTGTCATTAGCAGACGTTTGGCAGTGATAGACTGAAGACACTGCAGGGCTGTGAACATACAGGACAGACAGTGGGCAGATTCCTTAGAGTCAGCATTAGTGTGCTCTGACCTGTCGTGGTGCATCAGCATGTTGACAAGGTCTTTGAACAGGTCGGGCTGGCCGGGGCTGAAGGTGTCTCCAGATATCTGGTCCATTGCCTGCTTCAGCTCAGGGATACGGTTGTAGTACGACACAGCGTCATAGCTGAGGACATACGACATTCAAAAACAGGTATTATGTAACAACATGGATGAATATTAGCCTAAAATCTGGCCCAGCACAGCTTTAATTATGCATTAAAAACAAAACAGCAGACATTCTGACATTAACTAGAATTCTGCACAGATTTAAACCCCATGTGGTACATTTGAGACCTGAACCTGACCAGAGACCCTGAAATGTTTCCATTCCACAGGAACCTTATAGGATGGTTGTTCCAGGTATTAGTCAAACCCTCAGGTGTTAACAGGAAGTCAAAAAGTCTAGATTTTGATTGGACAACACATATTAATTATTAATTATTATTTTTTTCTTTGGCAAATGACCATGAAATAAAAGACAATGGCCTTTGAAGTGTCCATTATTAGGAATTAATGGACAATGGGGAGGTCATTATCCTTTAATGTTTAAGGTCATTCCACTCACACCGTTGTGATGCTCACCCCTTCTTGTCCAGAGCCTCCACATCTTCCACCCTCATGCCGAAGATGAAGAGGTTCTCCTCTCCAGCTTCCTCTGCCATTTCCACGTTGGCTCCGTCCATGGTGCCGATGGTGAGGGCTCCGTTCAGCATGAACTTCATGTTTCCGGTGCCAGAGGCCTCAGTGCCCGCCGTGGAGATCTGCTCTGACAGGTCAGATGCAGGGATGACTGCAGATAGGAGACAGGTGGAAAGGTCCAGAACTTCAGTTTCTCTTTATCCAATTTTTTATTTAACATGAAGCCAAAGTTTCCAAATGCTATATGCTTATGCTATCTCATCATTGGTATTGGGTGCTACAGAAATATTTGGGTCTGTACCAAAGTAGTACTCTGATAATTTAACAATACGTATTAAAGCTGTTCTGAACAGCATCCATTACCCTTCTCAGCCAGAGTCACCCGATAGTTCTCCAGGAAGATGACTTTGAGGCGATCTCCAACCACAGGGTCGTTATTGACGATGTCTCCAATGGATGTGATCAGCTTGATGATCATCTTGGCAGTGTGGTAACCTGGAGCTGCCTGGAATCGCAGAGGACAATCATGTTGAGAAGCATTAAATAAACAGCTTCTAAACACTGTTGGCAGATTATACACACCTTCAGTGGTACTCACCTTTCCACCAATCATGATAGTCCTTGGGGTCCATGACTTGTTGGGTTCCTTCTTGATTCCTGATTAAAAACAGACAGACAAAAGTTTTCCTTTCTGAATCCATGTATATTTTCTAAAACACTGCCAGTAACAGAGCCAACACCCACGGTTGTACAGTGTGATGATGTGCAGGCAGTTGAGCAGCTGTCTCTTGTACTCGTGGATCCTCTTCACATGGACATCAAACATGGAGTTGGGGTTGATCTTCACATTGTAGTGCTCTTCAAGATACGCAGCAAACTTCATCTTGTTCTCCTAAAATGTTGAGGCCATACAGAGGAATGAGATTAAAAAAATAGAAAAAGACAGGAAAGTGATCTTTCTTTAAGCGTTCTCAGCTCTCACCTGTTTGATTTTGGCAACATCCCGAATGAAGGAGTCATCGTCCACAAATTCCAGAAGCTGCTTCAGCTGGTCCAGGTCGCGGATGTAGTCTTCACCAATCCTCTAAATAACACGATTACCACATAAAAGCAGTATTATTTGACATGTGGGGGGAGGCACTGGTTCTCACAGTAAGTATTAAACACAGAAACACAGGAGTCTCCTGGGTCATTCAATAGTATGTATGTATGATGCATTATTGCTGTGGTAGCTATGTTCATATTAGATATTCAGTGGTAAATGTAATCTTCACTACTAGAATAAATGCCAAACATAATCATATTTCTTCCAAGAAACATCAGAAGTTTATTGATATAAGCAATTAAAGCACCAGGGCGGAGGAGAAAACCACAGGATAAGAAGAGACTGTTGCTATGGTTACACTAGGAACAGAGCTCACAAGGCTTTACAGTGATTGTGAGTGTCTATTAATGATGACTTAAAGGCATAGCATGCAGGATTTGTCCACAGTCGTTTGTATGAGTCTATAATTTTTTTTTTATTATTTTTTAGGAAAGTATGCCATTAAAAGCAGTGGGTAATTTTTATAAAAATAACTTTGTCATATTGCCTGACAGTAGTACACAGGTGATCCAGATGTTCTGGTTTCACTTTTAAGGAGCTGTTCTGTCGCTGCATGCACACCGTGCAGCTGCTGCCTGGATGCTTTTATTCCTAGAAACAATGCTGTATTAAGTTACTGCTAATGAAAACTGAACATTTCCTACAGCTTCCCATTAAAAAGCATCTAACTGGTGAAGTCACAGGAAGTGCAAAGTGTTTGTCAGTTAGCTTGACACTGACACACTTTTAGTTTGTTTTTACATCAGTTGTAAAAATTTCGGGGAATGATGGAACAAGAAGGAGCAGCCACAGTGAGCTGTTAGAGGAAGAGCTGCAGGCAACACGCTGCACACCTCCAACCTCTCAGCCAGGTCACAAAAGCTACTGTCACTGACGCTGTTCACAGACTCGTGTTGTGCGCAGCATAAAATCAGATCACAGTTACTCACAGAATAATGGAAAAAGGCCTTGTTTATCAAAAAGACAGTTTGTTTTGCTGCCTGTAATCGTGAAATAAATCAGGATCTCAATGTTGATCTAAATAATTGTGATGATCATTTGCAGCCCTAGTATAAACAACAAGTAGGCAGGTCAGCCACTCATTGCTCAACAGGTCAAACGTTCCACATCTATTTTCTGGCAAACAGAGCAGGGACACTATAGACATTAGATTACCATTCTATGGGAGATATGTGGTCAGAGGGTGAAAACTGACATCATTTCTATCAAAGAACCAGGTATTCTCTAACAAAGTAGTTCATCTATTGTATCTATCCAATCAGCACAGAAAATAACTCCTCTCTCTTCTCACCTCTATATTCAGTGTGCATGAAAAAGAAACAAACACACCTCTGCGATGACCTCAGCCAGGCCAGGGTTGCACATGACCAGCCAGCGCCTGGGTGTGATGCCATTGGTCTTGTTCTGAAACTTCTGAGGGTCGGTTTCATAGAAATCCTTGAACCTGAGGAGGAGCACAGGAGAACACCAAATTAACCTCAAGGCTCATGAACTGCATCTCTTTTGTTTTTGGATGTCAAATCTAATTATGGCCTGAGGCGTCTTTATAGTGAGGTTATACTAGCAAACACAAGCGAGAGAGGAGGTGAGGGCGAGCTGGTTTTTCCTACACAGTGTTTTTGATGATTTCAGAGTGGATGCGGGCCACTCCATTGACAGCGTGAGATCCCACAATGCACAGGTGAGCCATGTTGATCTTCTTGACGTCCCCTTCCTCGATCAGGGACATTCGGCGCAAGCGGTCAAGATCTCCAGGGTAAAGCTTGGTGATGCGCTGGTGGGGCGAAAGACAGATGTCTCAGTAGACATACAGAGCAGAGCTGAAGACTTGAGTCTCAGTCCAGTCTCAAGTCTAAATATCACCTAAATGCCTCAAATGCTCACAAATGTACACTCAGCCCCCTCGTACCTCCAGGTGCCTCCGGTTGATCTCGTAGATGATCTCCAGGTGACGAGGCAGGAGGTTTTGGAAGAGGTCGATGGGCCAGCGCTCCAGGGCTTCGGGCAGGACGGTGTGGTTGGTGTAGGCACAGGTACGAACCACAATGTCCCAGGCCTGGACACAGAGAGGATGGGACCAGAGACATTATCACACATACTCACATCTATCTCAGACTCACGCTGAAACTGTCACCATGGATTTAAAATGTGTATATGTTAACATAAAACATATGGATATAACTATATTGGCAAGTTCATTTGCTAACATTCTGTCACAGTGCCTGACTTCAGCCTTGACTCATGATGAGTCATTCTGCTGTGGTCGACGTGCTGCCATGTCATTGTGACTGCACCGCTGAAGGATGCAAAGAGACAGAATTGCTACACAAGTGACCACAGAACAACTCGGTTAAACTGCAGCAGTTACACTTTTTGCATGGTGAGAAGCATGAGTGAGTGTGGAGTCATTGGCTCACACTTTTAGACAGTCTCTGCTCCTGGGTGAGGAGTTCAAACCTTGCCTTTCCCCTGGCCTATCACTGTAGTGAGGTAGGAGGTTGTCAAGTTGAACCAACTCTGAGCCGGCACTAGTATCAGCCCAGGACTAACTCTAGGTTGCGATACTGGAAAGATGATCCAACAAGCTCTTTGTTTTAAGCATACTGAGGCCTGGGCTGTACCTTCTCCCAGCTGAGTTTCTCCATGTCCACCAGGATCCTCATCAGCTCAGGGATGGCCATAGCAGGGTGGGTGTCATTCAGCTGGATGGCCACCTGCAGACCACAGACAGACAAACACAAAGAATAGTATAGTTGTACAGGTTCAGGAGGGACACACGGACACACACAGACAGACACACACACGTGATCTAAAAGGGTAATCTGATCATCATCAAAATCTAGATTTCCAAGGCAACAAAGATTTAGAACAAACTATCAAATACACTGCAATCTGTAACATATCATAATTTGATATGTTACTATATCTCTCACCTTGTCTGGCAGCGTAGAAAGGTCAAGACGCACAAACTCTGTGGAGCCAAACTTGGAGGCTTTGAATCGACGGATGATGTCTTGAAGAGTTGCTGCTACGACAAAGTACTCCTGCTTCAGACGCAGCTCCTTCCCTTCAAAGAACTGACCAACAAAGACAGTGTGGAAAGCTGTTAAAGCGAGCGTCTCATCTTCAGCTAGACCTCCAAATAAAGTGGTTAACTGGAGAGTCTGGATAAACTTTTGACTTATTTGACCATCTGAGTTTCTAAGTACAATGCTACCATGACTGATGCCAAAACTACAAAAACAAGACCCAAGATTGGAATAAACTGGGATGACCTGAGATAACTTCTGTTATGAATTAGCGCTATACAAATAAAATTGAATTGGTGTACAACAATAAATCCACTCACGTTGTCGTTGGGGTAGAGAACCCTGGAGATGTTCTCAGCCAGGTTTCTGTCCAGCACAGCCTGAATGTAGCCGCCGACGTTAACTGTGGGACCACAGCAGTCAGTCAGGATCACATTCTTCATAGTTTCTTCTCATTATGCAACACTAATTGTGTTCAGTATGATGGTTAAGTATAATGTTATAAAGAGTTTGGTCTAGACCTGCTCTATTTGAAAAGTGTCCTGACATAACTTCTGTTATGAATTGCCGCTATACAAATAAAACTGAATTGAATTAAGTTTAGCAGTACAGATGGCAGTACTCACAATCTTTGAGGTTAAAGTCACACGGGGCCTTAGCGGACCACAGTCTCATGGTGTTGACAATGTTGTTCCTGTAGCCGGGGACTGGGGTGTCATAGGGAAGAGCCAGGACCACCTGGAACAAAATCACATCAAAATTTACATTATATACAGCGCTAGTATTCCATAATTCTCTGTGTTTTTGAAAATGTTATCTGTGAGATTAGACTGACAAGAGCTTGTTAATGTCAATATGGTCTCTGTTAGTTTGTCCACTAGAGGGCACTGATGAGTTCATTTTCCACACTGTAAACTGTCCTGCACGCTACATGTGTTGGATCACTGTTCTTAAAACAAAAAATAATAATAGGAATCCTTTATGAATTAAGTTCTATTTGGTTGTTTATTTTGAAAAGAGAGTCTCAAATATTGGGCTCAAAAATCCAGAATCAGTCGATCTTCAATTTAAAGAGACAGTTCACACCAAAATCAGATTCTACCTCTTTCTTGTAGTGCCATCTATCCAGTAAGATTGTTTTGGTGTGACTTACTCTCCAGTGTAATGGAACCAGATGACACTCACTTGTGGTGCCCAAAACCAAAAAATAAAATATATATATATATATATATATATATATATATATATATTTTGAAAAACTCAACAGCAATGTCTTTTTCCATAAATCATGACCCGTTTACTCAACATAATCCACAGAGTTCGTTGTGAGCAGTTTCATGTAGGAACAATTTTCTTTCCAGCAAACCGTAGCTGAAAGTTAGCTATGTCAGCAGTGCTAGGTGAGCTAGCTAAGCTTGGAGGAGGACAACATTTTGTTTACATCCTGCGCTGTTTTGTCAGTGACTAGATGCACGCTCCCTTCTGTGTGGTGATACATAGGAAGATAATAGTTCCTACATGAAACTGCTCACACTTTTGACTTTGAGGTGAACGGCCCCTTTAAATGTCACATACTTATACAACAATTATCATAATTTTTATATCCTTTAATACTTGAATTAAATCTGACCTCATTATAAGCAGTATCTAGCATTAGATGCATTGGGTGACTATTTTCCAGGTCAGCCCTGGTGTCAGATGTGCGTCTGTTCCTGCTAACCTGTGTGTCGACCCACTTCACTCCGTCGGCTGTGTGCTCCACTCTCCCGTAGAAGTGGACCGGGCGCATGTACTCAGGGCGAGCCTTCTCCCAGGGGTTACCGTAACGCAGCCAGTCGTCAGCTTCTTCCACCTGTGGAGACATGTCGCTGGGATGATCTCGAATGTGCCGGCCTATTACCTATTGGTACTGTATTTTGCACTGTAAATGCTGGGCCTGAACAAAAACAACCAATCAGAGCTAAGAAAGATGGTTGATTGTTGAGTCTCATTCTCAGGATGTCAAATACCAACACTGGGAATTACACTCAACAATCAACTTCAAGCCCCCAACCCAAAGGATCTTTTTATCTTTCTTGGCTTTGATTGGTTGTTTTCGTACAGGCCTGGTGGATTCTCACAAATACCATTAGGAGCACTAGGAGGAGCCAGAGGAACCTGATTGTTTCACAGATTATCTGTCTCATCTGCTACTGTCAGGATATAGTGAAAGTTTCTGAGAAATCACAGAAATCACATAGGCAAATCACAAAGTCTTTTGTTGAGAAGCAGAGGAAATGCTTTGCACTTGTCACCAGAGTTAGTACACTACTAGTGTTTGGGTACAAAACGAGTGGATCAGTTTTAAGTATTCTAGGGACAGTTGTTCAAAGGTAAACTGATCGGATTTGGGTTATCGGATTGGATCAAATCTTGAAAATGGGTTGTTCAAAAGGGAAAGAAGGAATCTGAAATCAGATTAGATCACGGAATCCTAGTTTTAATCTGGATCAAACCTTCAGTTTGTGTTGTTCAAAACTTGTCAGTAGGATTTGAATAACTTTGATCCAAAAAAACAGGATTATCCTGATCCCAACAGGGGGTAGGATTTCAAGGTGGATTCCAGGAAGAAAATGTAGTAAAACTTAAAATTGGTCAAATAATACATTTGTATCATTTAGTGTATATACTTTTTATATTTTGCACTTGTTTAACCGTTACAGTGATAAAGTAGATAAAGGCTACCAATTAAGCCTTTTAGTATAGTAAAGTAAAAATAAAACAAAAAAGATCTTGTCCCCATGAAATAATCCCCCAAACAGATTTCAATAACAAACAAAAATAATATATTAAATTTTTCTGTCATTCATCACTGTATATTAATTTCAAAGAAACAATCAGAGATGAACCTGTCAATAATTTCTAACAATTGCATCCCTTACTACACGTCCAGTCAGTCCCTCATTCTGACAGAACGCCAGGAGGTTGGTCTGGTTCTTCAACAGGCTCAGGTGCGTCATAAACATCATCACAGAGAGGGACATTGCGCCTGGTAGTGATGTTGTGCAGGACAATACACGCAAGTATTATATTGCATGCTCTGTGTGGTTCCACTCGCAAGTAGTTAAGGCATGCAAAGCGTCTCTTCAGAACTCCATTTAAACGCTCAATTGCACATCTTGTTTTGCAATGAGCAGTGTTGAAGTGTGCCTGCGCAGGTGTGGTTGCTGCAAGAAAAGGAGTCGTCAGCCATGGTAGGAGTGGATAGGCACTATCTCCTAACATTATGCCATCTGGTCGGTTGGTTTGGAGCTCTCTGTATAAAGCACTCTCTCTCAGGATACCTGCATCATGAACAGACCCAGGCCACTTCACGATACAGTTTGTGATGATGAGGTCAGCGTTGCCCACAAGTTGGATGTTGATGCTGCGCCTCCCCTTTCGGTTGATGTACTCCCAAAGACAATACCTGCCATGTCAGCGCCTCTCTCTAAGTCCTCTGAGAAAGGCTGAATATAAGATGGTTGTCAAATACCCACCCACCCATTAGCTGACGTGCTTTGGTTTGTGTTCAATTAAATCCATCATGCCCAAGGCCTATAAATACTATGTTCACTACAACAGATGAGGTGGAACCGTGGACTCAAAAGGACCTAATTGCACTGTTGCAGGAACCCATGCACTGCTGGAGGGTGTTAAGTGCCATTATGCCTCAATAGTAGGAAGCTCTGTTGTGGGTGGAATGGTGACTAACAAAAGGGGGGTTGGAATTTTTGGGTTGAAATCACCCAGAATGTGAATGCAATGGGGTCTGGCCAGAAGAAGACCTTGGAGCAAGTTAAATTTAGATGGAAGAATCTGAGGGCCAGAGCAACAAAGGACCTTGACCCAAACAGGCAACAAACCCTTTAAGAAAGGTGAATACACAGATGTGGTTCTGGACATTATTGGAGGTGAGAACTCTAAAGCTCTGCACGGGATTCAAGGTGTTGTAGGGGATGGTGAGCCTATGATTGTAGAGGAAAGTGAGCCAGTTCCTCCTAATGCAGAGGAAACATTTATTCTGGATCTCAGCCCTATTATTGAAGAACAACCTGGATCCTCACTGGTAGAGCCAGCAGTCACAGGAGCTCAGAAAAGAGGCTTGAAGTGTCCTTTGCCAAATAATAATGATGATGCCTATGAATCACTTCTTAAACAAGACACTGAAAGAGCAGAAGCACAGATACTCCTGGCAGAGGAACAAATCAAGCTAACCAAACTGCAGCAAACCAAAGTGAAACTTCAGATCCGCCTCCGAAAAGCAGGGCTTGAAAATGCTGGTCTCTCCTCCTCAGATGAAGAACCCTGAACATTCTTTATTTTGTTAACTATTCGACATTTAGCCTTTTTTTTTTTTTTTTTTAAGACGTTTTCAAAATATCCACAATGTATTTGTTAATGTATATTTGTTTTTTATTTGTTGTGGCTCAGATGAGGGGTCATAAAAGAAATTATGAATGGAAGTGGATGTTTATGTTATTTTTGTGTTTTGTCTCAAAATAAGAAACACTTACAGTGACCCCATGTTGGCTCTTCTACCTGTTGTTCTTCATATAGCTGGTAGCCCACATTGTGATATGTTGTCACATTTAGAGTACTGGTAATCCGGATTTGGTAATCTTGAAAACTGTATCTGGATCAGGGTGATCCAGACCAATGTTGCTTTGAAAAACCGGCATAAAAGTAAGACGGATTACCTGATCCTGAATAGCAAAAAATGGGATTTCCAAATCAGGATCATTTTGATCCAGATTAAATGTTTTGAACAACTGGTACCTAATAATGAAGGCAGAACAGTGCAGGTCTTTATATGATTAATTATGTGTGCCATCATGCTGGTAAATGGGAGATTTTGGTATGACTTAATTCAAAAATCACAGCAGTATTGATCATAGTCAACTTTTTTGCCTCAACTTTAGTATGAAGTTCTGGAAATCCCCTTAACCAATATCAGTGTTCCATTAAATCCAAACATTTCTTGCACCAAATATTTGGATAAACGCTGGAGGAAAGTTTACTCTCTCTGAGCTACAGGACTCATGTTTGGTTCAGTAACTGTCTCTGCAAGGACAGTTGACTCAGATTTCAGGGAAGTACGGAGGACTTCTTCTGTTGAAAAAAGTAAAATCTTTAAAGTCAAGCTCATGCCAAAGAGTGGAATCAACCATTTAGGTAGGGTAAGGCATCCAAACTTTGTGTATCTACATTAGACTTTCAATTACCATGTTTTCAATGGATCATGATCTAAAGCAGATTTAACTACAGACCCAAGTATAGCAGGAACATACCTGCCAGCCGTTTACGATTTTCTGATTGAAGATGCCAAACTCATAACGGATGCCGTATCCATAAGCAGCCAGACCCAGAGAGGCCATGGAGTCCAGGAAACACGCTGGGGAAAACAACAAGGGGGGTGGGGGGTAGATGCTTGAGACAAGGTTGTCCATAGTACTAAACATCACTGTCTATCAGCAGCCAATCAGGAGGAGGCAGGAGCTCACCAGCCAGACGACCCAGCCCGCCGTTGCCTAGACCAGCATCTTCCTCGATGTCCTGCAGCTCCTCCATGTCCAGACCCAGCTGAGAAACACATCAACACATTCATACTGCGGTAATGCTAATAAAAAGGGACACGCTAGTGCACCTTTAAGACAAATTCAACTAATAAATTAGGGTATGTTGTTGTTATTGTTATCATCACCATCATCATCATCATCATCCCTACCTTGTGATCCCCGGCCCCCTGCAAATGTAGCTGCATCGGTCAATTAAAGAAGAATCGACCATCTATTCTATAGATGTAGTTTTTGGGGATGTTCTGTATTTACATTTCCTTGGAGCCACACTCAAACATCTGCTGTTTGTGCATCCCTGTTCTCTGTTCAGGTGTCCAGTTACTTTTGACTATATAGTTTATTATTTAACTCACTCTCACTCTCTCAAAGTTTTGAATTTAGGACATGAGAAACATGAAAGTGCAGCTCTGTCTCTACCTGTCCTCTGTCACACTGGGAGCAGAGTCTCTCCTCTTCTGGTAGCCAGTTCTGTCTGTGGCGACCCGTTTCTATGGCCAGGCTGTGTTCACTCAGTCTGTATGTTGTCAACAGTTTTCTTAATTTAGGACATTTTATTGTGGTCAGGTAATTTGCCAGTTTGAATTCTCTTTTTAGGGTCAGATAACATTGTAATTTACTTTGTGTTTTGGTCGTTTCTTTCCAGTATTCAATGTATTTTTCTTTTTGCTTGTTGATAATTTGGTTTGGTCTGATTGAGTTGGTGTTGCTGTCCTGAGGCTGTTGGGGACATGATACTGCAGAGAGCCTCAGGACCAGCTGGCTGAGGGGACTCTTCTCTGGTTTCAGCTCCTGGTATGTTAGGGCTTTGTGATGGTATGTCTGGGGGTTAACTGATTTTAAGTGATTGTAAAACTTAATTGATCTTTTTCTCTCGCTCTCTCTCTCACTGAGCGTGTGATCCATACAGAGAAGAGGCTGGTTTCCTTCGTACCTGCATGTCCCCCAATCCTTTACCTCACCTGGTATGTGGCTTCGTCGCAGGCGTTCTCCAAAGCCAGGTTAACCATGGTGTTCTGCAGAGTTCGGCCCATGTAAAACTCCAGGGAGAGGTAGTAGACACGCTGCAGGAAAAGAGAGAAAAACAACCCGTAAAAAGGGTGACAAAAGTCTCCTCAGTCCTGGTCCAGTACAGTGTGTTGTAGAAACTTGAAGCCACCAGTGCATATCCACTGAGAATGGACTTTACAGTGAAGGAGGAGACAGCTTGTGTCCAACAGGAAAACTAACAACATTTGCATATTCAGAGATTCTGGAAATTTAAATGAGGTAGAAGGGGTAGACGCAGATTTATTGCAGGGAAAAAAAAAAAACATAAGACACACATTATAATTCCAAGCAGACTGTTGTATACATGTCTTAAAGCTGCAGTATAATTTTATAAAAAAATGTTTATTATACTATACCCTGACAGTAGTAAACGAGAGAGATAATCTGTGGGGGGGGGGGAGAAAAAAAAAAATCTGGTTCCTCTGACTCCTCCTAATGGTATTTGCAAAAATCCACCGGCCTGGATGAAAACAACCAATCAGAGCCAAGAAAGTGTTTCATTCTAAGGCTGTCAAATATCAGTGCTGGAAATGAGATTCAACAGTTATAAGTTATCTTCAAGCCAACAGCCCAAAGCGTCTTTTCCATCTTTCTTGGCTCTCATTGGTTGGTCATTTTGGCCCGGTGGATTCTTGCAAACACCATTAGGAGCACTAGGAGGAGCCAGAGGAACCTGATTTTTTCACAGATTATCTGTCTCATGTCAGGATATAGTGAACGTTTCAGCAAATATGACAAAAAGTTATTTTCATAAAAGTTACCTACTGCAGCTTTAATACATGTCTGGAGGGGATCTTTATCTCGATACAAAAACATTCGCCAAAGCTGATAAATATCTGTTTCGTCTCAAATTTAAGAGGATGAAAAAGATTCAAAATAGTGCACTAAAACTCGGTGCACACATTCTCAGGAGGACATTAATAATAACACAAATGTTCTCCATTTGGTGTCCCTTGTGCAACATTATCTCTGGCAGAAAACAACAGCTGCTGTCAGAGGCAACAACAGCAGGGCTATAACTGGCAGCTCCTCCAACAATATCTCTTACACTTCACAGAGAAGTGGATCAAACCACGAGCCTGGCGGTAACACAGCACAATGCCTCCTTACAGCTCTGAGCGTGTCATAGTGGACGCAGACTTCCAGAATGAACATACAGTACATACTTTAGATAATGCTTCAAACTGTACCAGGATATGTCAATCTATGGATTTTATGTGTCCGAGCTGACATTTTGGCAGCCTCTCTGACCTTGTGCCATGTGACATTTTTGATCCTGCTGCTGACTGAAGGCAGAGGTCACATAAAAAAGCAGACATGGAAATGACAAAGGCATTCAGCGGTCAGTATAAATAGGAGAGGAGGGTCTGTGCTGCTTTTCTAAAGGTCGCACTGATTTCCTGCGAATGACGGTCCATGTTTCTAACAGTATGTAGGTTTGTTGTGTGATGGGATTATTAAGCTTTTGATGCAATCAACACAGTATGAACTACAGCTACAACAATTAGTCATGAACTATTACAATAACTGCCAACTATTTTGAGAATTTATTTGTCGTTATGAGTCATTTTTTAAGACAAAATGTGTAAATTATCTGATTAGACCTCATCAAGGTATATGATGCTCAAGCGAGCTGCCACTTGAGGCTGTCTCCAGCAGTGAGTCAATCTCCATAAGGCCCTATATTAAAATGCCCACCTTTACAGCAGAAATATGTTTACAGCACCCTCCCCTTCTATATGATAGTTTACATTAGGTACAATTCATTTAAAATCAATAATGTATACTTTTCATATGAGAGAAAATAGCACATGCACAGTCAGTCAGCTGCTTTTGACCATCAATCCATCACATAAAGTTGTGTGCAGCTGAACTAAGCCTGGCTGCACAGACTGAGGCTGTAACAATGGACCCATCAATCAATGAGCATTAGTCATCACAAACAATAAGGATGTTTGTGATGACTAATAAGCTGGATGAACTGTGAAGTTTAACCAGACTCAGATCACAGTGCAGCAGACAGTGCAGCCTTGTTCATTATACAGGCGATGGCTCTTTAAATTCTCCATCCAGCCTCCTGTTGCAGTAAAACAAGGAAGCTGAGTGCTGCTGGGTATTCAGTAGATGAGTTGAGGTGAATATTGGGGGGGGGCTCACTTCATCTGCCCTTTTTAGTTGTGTGTGGCCATTTTGTGATGCGCAGTGTGTACTGATGGGGATGGACGGACGGCGTTACGTAACACACATTGTAGCAACCAGTTGAGTGTCCTAATTCCACACACAGTGGGAAGATACAGGTTTACTAAATGTGAGGCCGCGAGCGTCGCCCTCAGTGCGCGCGCTACATCACTCCAAGGTTACCGAGGCGGACGCAGACGCACGAGCCGCCGGTTATGTAACAGACAGCTGTGATGGATGTCAGCGTGGACAGGACTCCCCACTGAGCCGCACTCGCTGTTCCAGCGCACAATATGCGTAAAGACTGAGCAACAGGAACATTACTATAAAAGGATATACAGAGCAACGCCGCAAAGAGCTCGCGCGCACAATCACACAGACAGACGCGCACGCGGGGCCATCAACTGTGCTGCTGCAGCGCTGCGTCCCCTCCCACTGCTCCCAGGTCAGCTGTGTGTACGTGCAGGACTGCGGCCCCGGCCCCGCTGCTTACTTTCGGGTCTTTCTCATAGTAATGCTGCTGCGTCCGGATCCAGCGGCCCACCAGGTAGTCCCGGACCGTGTTTGCCAGGGCAAAGTAGTAGTCCCGTTTGGTGGCCACGTTCCGGTCTTTCACCAGGGTAAAGTGGAGGTGCCGGTTGAAATTAGTTTTCAGGTCCGCGACGTTCTCCACCCCGGCTAGTCCGCGGACCGAGATCTGCTTCCTCTTGTCCTGGTCTGTGAGTGGCTTGGCCATGTTTGCTGGTGGCTTCTGGTGACTTTGTACTGAGCGTTGAGTTAACCCGGCAGCCTACCCGCCCCTCTTCACACTGAGCGCAGACAGCCGGTGGGACGTCGCCGTCCAGCCTCTTTTATACGTCAAGCGCTCAGCGTCAAGACGGACGGAGGAAAACCATTTCCGGTACGCACTTTGAAAATAAAACCAATTTGCCTCAGAACGGGGAATACACGATTTAAAACTGCGTCACACGGTTAATTTCCCTTCATAAACAGCAGGTAAAGGAGGTATTTATGTCCAGACTGCAGATAAATCACTAGGAGCTTAAGACTGCATTTCCTTCTAATATGTTGGTCAATTAGCTTGTAAAATGTACGGAGACCATTTGTAAACGCTCCTTTATTTTAGCACCAAGATGACATCCTTTCCGGTCTTAAACTCGTTACCTTGACATTGTTCTCTATAAACTCAGTGCGGAACTACTTTGCAGGACAGGAAGGAACTGTACCCGATGTACATTTGGATCATTTTTAGACCAATATATGCATTGAGTTAGAATAATGCTATGTTAACATGTATTTTGTGAGCAAAAATATTAAACATTCAAGTTCATTCTTGGCCTTGAACACTGTATTTGGACTGGAGAAAAAAAATATCTAAAGCTCAATTTAGGCCCTTTCTTTTTCCACACTTCAATCCCATTTTACAGTCTTAATGGACAGTTTGCTTGGATTGTAACATAAAAATGCCATAACTGAACAATGTATTTGCTGAGGAAGACTATGAAATCTGGTGCAAAGCTGCAGGGAAACACAAGTTCACTGTGAGTTATGTTTTTAGTAAAGCTACACAAGTGCCAACTCAATTTTGCTAATGGCCATAAGATGCATTGTAAAGCTCAGAAAAAAAGCTAGTTAGGAGACCTTGAGTTAAATTTTTTTCAAATACTACATAACATTTCCCACTACTTTTCCCCAAGCAACTGAAATGATCTTTTTCTTTAAGAGCAGAAAATGTAATTTCCAGTATTATTGAGTCATTTATTTAAATGTAATACCATTCATTGGTTTACGTTACCAAAACACTATGTACTTAGATTCAATATGGATAAGTGTGTTTCTTCTGTCCTGCAGAGAGAACACCGTTTTCAAAATAAAACTTCTATAATGGAGCATAAAAATGTGCTATGAATGCCCGTAGTAGAAATATAACTGTATATAAACTTTTAAGAGACGTGTGTTTTTCCTAAGCACAGCCGTCCTGGGAGGTTTGTGAGGCAGTGGACACCCTTGACAACACCGGGTTATGTAACATGTGAATGAGGCAGCCAGAAGGGCCATGCCTAGATTCTTGGCAAGTATTCTGACACAAAGGCGCTCACATCCATGAAAGGAGAAACCAGCCTGTACTCACGGACAAAAAGGTGAAATGGATCAGTTTAATGCTAAACCAAGCAAAATTTCAACAGCTATTCGTTCAGGCTAGCGCCGTAACACAACAGACCGATTCCAGAAACCGAGTAAAACTAACATTTTTTTTTCTCTAATAACTTGAGGGACAAACGCAAAATTTTTGTCCTTGCAAAAGCAACACAAACACTGCACACAGCGTCTTATCAGAGCAGAGAAATGCAGAAAAACAAGGATACATCAGATTCTCAACAGTCAAGTAGTGCAGGAGGTCAGAAGCTAGCAGCATCAAACCCCCCTTCTCAAACTCAATGTCACAACTGAGATGCAGGCAAGTAAGAAAAGAAAAAAAACAATTAAAACCCTGGGAATTTCTGGAAAACAATCTGAGACAGTACTACAAAAAGGTTTTCTGACAGAACTAAGAAAACACTTCACATCTCGTTATTACAAAAATATTAATCTTATTCAACTCTAAGCCAACATGGGGAACAGGACAGGAGTATCAATTTGTGAGTGAGGTGTTTACAATGGATCATGCATGCTGAACTTCAATATATTAAATCCAATACTAGTCAAGTGTTTAGGACTGAGTTGAACATTGGAAGCGATGAGACTGTTCTGGCGGGCGATTTGAGCTGTTTATTTGGTATACAAGTAACGTGACAAACTACGGTAGCAATGCAGAACATGTGGCTGAGAGCAGCAGTGTTTGTATGCACACAAGGAGATTTGTGTTAATACAAACTTTAAAAACAGGAAAAATAACTCATTAAGTTACGCAACTTTACAAATTGAACTGACACAGCCTTTCATTGTTTCAGAGATGTCTTCACAATATCAAGGATCAATAAAAAATAAAGCACTGGTTATATTTTTTTCTGTGCGCACACATCCACAATGTGCTGCAGGGGGCGGGGCAATTCTTCTGTGGCAGGGTTAATTCTGGGGTGGAGGAGGTGGGGGGGCCGGAGGCATGCCAAAGGGGGGCATGCCCGGTACCCCCATCCCCATCATGGTGACAAAGTTGGAAGGGTCCATAGGGGGCGGGGGTGGCGGTGGGGCATACATCATGCCTGTTGAGCCTGGAGGTGGTGGGGGTGGAGGAGGAGGTGCGCCCGGGGGCAGTGGCGGCTGGACGCCGGGAGGAGGCGGCACCATGGACGGGGTACCCATGGGTGGTGGGGGCTGGGCTCCGGAGGCTGCAGGCTGCTGGGGCTGCTGCCATGGAGGCAGGGTGCCGGTGCCAGGGCTGGACGTGGTGGTGGTGTCTGGAAGAAGGGGGTGGGACAGCTGGGGGTTAACTCTTTACTGTCACCTCAAATTATAAACACACACCCCCAATGATCACTGATCAACTCTATTATGATATGGCAGCTACCAGTCATCTCTACTACTACTAAAATCACATCTCCAAATGTGTTAGGTTAACTAATTTGTAGCAGAGGATTGTGGGAGTTTTCATTCATGCAGAAACACATTAAGTGAGGATTTGTAGTAACCACAAGCAGATATAGGAGAGCCAGCAGACCTGAGCTCACTTTAACCTTTGTGATGACCCAAGCTGCAGTGCAGTGGGGAAAAACTCCAAATAGCAGCTGATTATTGTCCTGACTCAAACGCTTTGGTATTTGGGTCACTCAACCTGCCAGCGTCTGCCGCTCTGGGCTCTTCATACAGAACAAAGGACAAAGGAGTGTGTGATTTGGTTTCTACCATCTTACTGTCCTCTATACACAACTTTGCACATCGAGTAGTGAGAGTAGTGAATGATGGATTGGTTTCGGATACAGTTTTTGTGAGCTCTTACTCTGTTGCCAGGGCAGTGGCGTGCTGGTTGCCATGCTGCTGGTGGGAGGGGGAGGTGGAGCCTGCTGTTGCCATGGTGGCAGAGGTCCAGAAGGGGGAGGAGGTGGCTGGTTGCTGGGAGGAGGAGGTGGAGGCGGCATCATGCCCATTGGAGGAGGCAGCAGGCCTACAAGGAAACCAAAAGTCAGACATTTTTCTTCCACAGTTTATTCTACTTATTGCACAACACAAGAACGAGTTGGTCTTGTGCAGATTTTAGGTTATTATTTATAATGCCAAACTGACAAGCTAATAAGAGAATTCACAGCAGTTAGTTTTCACTACAAGGTTGCTCCTGTCTGCAGTATTTCAAGAGCTTTCCAGGGCTTGAGGAGATGATGTCGCAGTATCATAATCTAAATATTTTCCTTTCATCCACTTGGAACTTTAGAGAGCTGACAGATACTGGTAAAAGATTTCATTTGGACTCAATATATTTCTCTATGGGAGGGGGGTGATTTTAACATTATGTGTCAGGGATTTTACTCATGTCGAGAGAAAGTATGTGGGTCATTTTTTAGCCCCACCCCAGTAATAATTACAGCAGCATTTACCTGCTGTTTGTGTCTGAACAAAAATAAAGTCTGACATGCAGGACCAGCCCGTTCAGTTTCAGATCTTTCAGTTCAGAGTGACATTTGATTCTTGTGTTAAGGGGAAGTCAATCACTTTTGCCACAACATGCTTACATTAAAATGTAGGCCTGTAGGTATTTGGAAACCAATATTACAGAAAAAAGACCCCACAAAAGCTCATCAAATGGGCTGTTGTACTGGTTAGCAGTTCCTGACTGCAGTGTATCTATGGGTGTACAGACAACTATCACAGCAGAAAACTTATGGTTATTTATTTGTTATGGACATCAAAGATAATGATTTCCTCTAGACGTTTAAGTCACAGTGGATGATATCGACGTTGAGTTACTGAGGAGCACAGTGAATATTTGAGTGACTGCATCAGGCTTTTGAAAACTTCCAGAACCCTTTAAACGTCAGCTCTTACCCATGGGGTGCCCATGAGGTCCTGGACCCTGGCCCATGGGAGGAGGAGGTGGCTGCATCCAGGGGGGAGGCAGGCCGTTGGGGTTTGGGGGGCATAGGGGGCCTCCCATGTTGGGCATGGGAGGGGGGAAGTTGTGGGGTCCTCCGTGGTTACCATGCCCTCCATGCATGCCGTGGAAGTTCCTGTTCTCAGTAGGTCCAGAGCTCATCCAGGGGGGCCGATTCTGCTGTACAGACAGTCATCAGTAATTTAAAGACAACTTTCTACACCGACAGGACATATGAATCGTGCAGTTGTGCTGATAACTAACCGGTGGCGGCTGGTTATTGTTGGGTCCCGAGGACCGAGGCCCTCCTCCCTGGGTGCTTGAGTGTCCTCCACCAGAAGTGGGGACTGGAGCCTCCCCTAGCTCAGCCATAAGGGACAGATACTCCTTGTCCATGCGAGCCTTGTCCTGGGCCGACTGGGGAGGCTCGCCTCCTGTCGCTCTGTGGGCAGCGAACGAGCTACACAAAGAAAAACAGAAATCATTAGTTCAAAAAGATAACACTGTACTAGTAAAAGAGACTTTAGTGAACTGATCATCACCTGGTGTACTTGCAGTCGGAGGAGATGTGGCCTGCTCCACCACACTTGGTACAGAGGGTGGTGTTGGTGATGCTGCGGGGCTCAGCATTCTGCCAAGGACGAAGGATCCTGCAGAGACAAACGTTCTGTCTTCAGCACGCTCTGTAGCTTACATTGAGTATAATGGACTTCTCCAATGCCCATACATTCATCACCACATTAACATTGAACTGTGCATAAAGCTCCAGCACTGTCACACTGACCTGTTGTCGTCTTCCCTCAGTGTGCCATTGAGTCTGGCAAGCTCTCTCAGCTGCATTTTTCGTAGGTCATTCTGATCCTCAGGTGTCTCAATGCCTTGCTTCAGAATGTTGCGAATCTGTGGACACACATTTCTCACCATTAATACACTGCACATAGAGCTGCCCCAAAGGCACACTGGAAACATAGCAACAAAACGCCAAATCATGTCACTTCAGTGTAACAAGCTGAGCCCAGATGGAACGTCCAATGGGAGTGTGATGCATCAGAACAGCTGAGGGTATCTAACCTGCTCCACGGCTTTCTTGACGTTCTCCATCGTATTGGCAGTGACGAGGGCATGAAGAGGCTCATCTTCCCCAGGCAACATCTGTCCATCCTTTCGGCCTACCTTCCCTTCCTTCACAGAACCCTTGCCCCGGATCATGATCTTGGCGCAACACTCCTTCTCAATGTTCTTCAGCGTATTGCCACTGGTAAAACCAAAGAGGAGAAAAAGTGAGAAACCAAACTCACTTTTAACTGTGCTGAGCTGTGTCCTTACTTGCTTATAAAAGTATAAAAAACATAGAACATGACAGTAATATTAGGTCCAACTTACCGTGGTCCAATTAGGAGACCAACAAAGTTGATTTCAGGGTATTCATCTTGGGGGATCATAACTTTGTCATTGACTCTGGTGGCTGGAGGCCTACAGGAAAGATAAGAGATAAGCATTTAATAAGAGCAATGATTTCTGATTCTCTTAAAAGCCATGGTAGATATTTTATCAACATCATTACACCATATAGAGCTTTATATAAACATCCATTAGCCCTTTTCCACTGCAGGAACTTAACCAGTACTCTGGAAATTCTGATTATCAGAAATCCAGAAAAACAAAAAAAAACAAAACAAACATTTGAAGCTTTGCTCCATAATGCTGCAGATAAAATTTTTTGTGCCATATTTTGTGTCTGTGCACTTTGAATGAAGTTATAATGATACAATGATGTGGGGTAACATTACTGTTGTCTATGGAGTCTGGTGGTCAGTGATAGCAATATTAGGGCTGCTTTTGGTTAAACAAAAAGGTCCATCTCCGTGGGGATCTACTTTTAGTGGACGTACTTTGATCGGTGCCTTTGTCCCGAAGGATTAACGTTCGTGGGTAATTTCACATCTAACTTAGTGAATAAAGGGTTTATTCTGACCAAACCAGTGCTGGTGATGGAAAGACTGTCCAAAGACTAACAAACACAGTTTTAAGTTTTTTTTTTATTTCTGTGCCACGTTTTGGTCTAGAAGTATCACCTCCTGAGCAGTGCTAAAATGTACTTCGAGGAACTCTACTATAAAGAGGGCGAAGAACAATGGCAACAAAAAGATTGTGATAAATACAAATGCAGATCCCACTGTTCTGGATGCATTAAAAAAATTAAAAAATAAACTCATACTTGCATGCATACTATGCATATAACCCCTGTATCATAATACATATATCACCAAATTCTTGGAAAAGGGGTGCAAGTTACTAGATTTCTTGTTAAAATCACATCTCTAACCAACTTGAAAAATCTTCACATTGTACAATTTCAGATTTTAGACTACTATGATCATCATTTTACAACTAATAATGGCTGCCAAGTCAACTTGGACAGCCACTGGCCACAGGCAACACTATTTTTTAAATTTTTTTTTAGGTAAAGGTAAATTAGCACAGCCAAAAAACAAAGAGCTGGTTAGTGGAAAACAAAGGAATAAATCCTACTTATAGTCTGCAGGAGGTTTGAAATCAGGGTTGAGTCCAACCATCTCAGTGATGAGGGAGTGACGCTCCTCCTCAATCTTCTTACGTGTGCGATACTCGCGGGTGTTTAACCGTTTACCCTCACTGTTGTAGATGGGCTCCGGCGAGGGAGACCTGAAAACGGCAGACAAAAGACAAGAAAGACATCATTGATACCTTTCTGGAAGTGGAGCTCTGCCATTAACAATCACACAGTCTCCCTATAGCTAACTAAGACTTTAAGAATTTCAGATCTTCAGTCGGAGTTTTAAATCAATGGGTGCTGACATGTCTAAGAAACAATGATGAATTTTTAAAAAAAAAAATCGGTTTGGAAATTTGGATCTACTGAGAGAATTCTCAGACTATGTGACTCATGGCCAGTGCAAGAGCAAACTCAAAAAAACAAAGAAAAAGGATGTAGGAACTCTGCACTGACATTTCAAAGGCTAGAGTCCTTTCTTTTATACAATTCAGGGTAAAAAGGGGGCAACCAAAGCTGTATAGTGGTAATTAACCCAATACACTGGAGGGGCATCAACCACAAAAGGAAAAAAAACCCAAATACATGGCCATTACTAAACCTGCATACAGGATTGTTGGCCTACAAGAAAGGAAAGTTGGAGGTAAGAAAAAGAAACCAAAGCAAAATTCGCAATCCTAAGCAGAAACGCTGGCTTTGAGAGTTGCTTGGTGTTGACGTGGCGGAAGAGGTCCGTACCTCCCCTTGGATGCTGAAAACCTGTGTTGCTGCGTTAAGGAGGCTCTGTGCTTGAAAAAGGGTTAGGTTGATGTGGGGTAATTTGGGTTAGAGAAAAGGAATTAAGATTAGATATCCAACCTTTTCCTATGCTCTCCCATCAGAGAGCCACATTTGTGTCCATGTGATGTGAAGAGTGAGAAAAAAAATTGGTTTGTCCCATTTATGAAACTTCCAACGGTGACAACCTGAAACACCCCCAGTTGGTTCTGTCACATTAGATCGGGGGAGTGATTTATAAGAGTGCTGCAGCTCTGCAATCAACTTTTTAGTTGCTGTGGAAATGTCTGATTATCAAGAGAAACTCTATACAGTGTACAGACGACAGGGACTCTAGCTAGTAAAGAGGTCAACTTCACACACTCTTGAGAGCAAGCCACTTCCTGCGGGAACAGATCCTTATGGAAACTATGTTATAAGCTGGCCGCTGCTTTTCCACAACACATAATTCTGGGAGTTTTCTTCCAGACCCTGAGAGTCCAGAGGGAAAACCGGCACACGCCCCCCTTCCCCCTGGGTGGAAATGTTTACAGCTACATTACGGGAAAACAAGAAGACAAGCGGCAGAATATTTGTTAAATCCAAGATAAAACCTATGACTCACTGGTATGTTATCGGCTACACGCCATAAGCTCAAACATCACTGGCAAAAAGTTAGAGAACATCCAGTAAGTAAAAAAGTCAGGCAAGGCAATATCAATTGATGGGACTGTGTGAATCTAACTTTTCCAAAAGAGCCAATTCATCTGAACTAGTTCAACTTCAAAGCTGGTAAATAATTAATACTAAAAAAGTCATTTAGACCATAGAGTAAGGTGTATTGACCCAAACCTGTTTCAGAGGGAAATCTTTATACATTATGCATTGTATATGTATTCATATAGTCACACAGCACTCTACATCAGACACACAAAACAAGCAGTGGGTGAAACAATGATGATAAATGCTAGCAGCCTAACGACTCCACCTAACTGTCAAGTCAAATGAGAAATAATCCAATAAAAAAGGTGAAAGGCGGTTATCTCTGTCCTAGCAGTGACTTGACTAAAATACTAAACTCATCTTACACTGACCTGTATACAGTGGGTTGCCCAGGCATTCATACCCCCTGCTCCCTTTACAGTTTGGACATTTGCAATGAAATTATTGGAGTGTTTTTTTTACCCAAGATTGAAACATTGTTTTAACTGCACCATAAGGAAACAGATCCTAAAAAAAAAAAACACCAACAGTCCACCTAAAGATGGCAATTGCTCAACTGACAGATGTGACCGAAAGCTAAAAAAAATAAATATATATAAAAAAATGTTTGTGAAGTGTTTTGGTCAAACGACCGTGTCCACAGGCAATTTGTTGCACATTGTTAAAAATTTTAGTTAATATAAGTTTGCACTTTGCCAATCGCTTCCATGCAATATTTAAATATATTTAATTTTTATTTCAAATGGGTAATACAATTTATGTTTCATTTTGATGTAATTGCAGACACTGTCTCATTGTCTTGGGTAAAAATATAAGCATATATTTAATGTTTTCTTTAAAGCTGCACTAGAGAATTAGTTATTGTTGGGTTTTTTTTTTTTTTTTAAATAATGGGGGGGAACTTTCTGCACAGTCCAAATTTTTAAAGTCTTAACCATGGAGCTATCCCTATCTTTATTACTAAAATAGCAGTTTAATAGACCTACTTAGACAAATCTACCATTACCAATTCTAAACAAGCTAACCATAAATATAAAAACAGCTAAAGCTAATAGCACCAGTAAATGTACATTCCTGTACGCTTACTGGAGTCTCTGAGCTTTACAAATAGATGAATGTAGATCAGTTCTCCTCTAGCACTAGGCTTTGACAAAAACTAACATGTTAAACAATATTGCCCTTCACCTAGGAGATAGCTAACTAAAATGCTACATCTGCCAGCTAATTCTACTATGCAGTCTGAGATTTAGGCTAACAACCACATATATACTGAAAATCAACATTTGTCTTCCAAAAAGTCAAGAAGGTAGAGAAAATGTTACTGTTCATGGATTTAATCTTTTTCCGACCTGTCCTCAGGGTTAACAGGGATTCCCAGGTCTCCTGTACGCAGTTTACGAGTCAGGTCTTCAATCTGCAGTTGGACTGGAAGAATTCAGGTTAGGAAAGAAAAACAAGGATGGAGAGAAATGTGGTTACCACAACAACATCAGAGAGACAACGCTCTGCACATTAGAGCACGGTCTCATACATTACTGAGGCAAAGACAAATGGTGAGTCTGTTAAATAAAGAATAAGGGGAGATCAAATGGACATCTGGTAAGACTCTAAAGCATCATATCAGAGGAACACATTACCCAATATAAATATGTCCTAGAGGTCATTTACATTAGCAGAAACAGGACTAAGCTTTTCTCAGACAATGATTAAACATGGCAACATATCAGTAAATGTCTAGACCATGATTCCCAAAAATGCCTGCCAAACTATTGAGATTTGAAACCCAGGTTGTGGCTTTCTTCATGTACTGCAGCACGCTGCGTTTAAGGCTCTGGCATTTTAAAGGACACATCGGGTCTAAAAATCACTGATTGGTCTATTTGTTTTGCACGTTTCAGTAGAAAAAAAAAAGGTAATCACAGTCACTTTTTGCTCTCCACAGATCTAACACTGAGGGGCTGCAGTGACAGAGACAATTATTACATTTAGGAGGCAATGAAAAAATAAATCAGTCATTCCATGCACATTATGAGAGTTGTAATGAAATATACCCCCCCAAAACACAGAGATTCACTGGTCACTGAAACGATTACTCTGGGTTATAGAGATGAATACAGGCCCTGTGAATTGTGGTTCACAGAAATTTCATCTTAAAACGCTTCCCTTGGATTGTTTTAGGGACTCTACTGAATGAACAAAGGAAACGATAAGTGTGACAGCGGAAGGTGGGCACAAATGAATGTTTACATACCAAAGAACAACAACCATTACCAATGAGTGAACAACATCAATAACGATGTCAGTTATTGACAAAGGGACTAGTCTGCTTCAGAATACCCAGTTGAGGGCCTGTGAAGGCAGTATGTTGGTGCTACACTGCTGCTGGAAGGCATTTGTGGTTGAAAAACAATTTGCTTTATATGATCACACTGGGTTAACTAAGAGCACATTAACAAGTGTTTCCCACTTTGCAATGCCCACTAAATCAGCTTGTTGAGTCTTTTACATATGTTGAATTGACTTGCCATTGAAGCAGCATTGCTCACACGTGGACCAATAGAAACAGAAGCACACTTTAGCATATTAGGACATTATGAGTAACGTCTCCATGCACAGGAACAATACTGATGATGTGTAGGGGATCAAGCAAGACAGTGAGCAGTGACCTGCAGCTCAGAACAGATAGCAGCAAGCAGTGGTGTTTAATCATCTATCTCCTCTTGCTAATGGCTGCCCAGTGGTATGCAAACCATAAGACCACAGAAACACTTGCCACGGCAGAACCACTTTACTTCCATTAAAGAGAAATAATCTTAATTAACACTTTATATCATCACGTTATAATCATTGCTCGTCGGAGGTAATTGCTTCGTCTCAACAGTTGGAGCAAAATTAGACATTTCCCATTTTGTGTAACACAGTAAAGTTACTGCCGAATACAGCGGAAATGTGATAGAAGGTTTGTGGTTGGTAACGCGTCTTGTGGGTGCCTTTAGAGAGCTCTAACTGTTGGGAATTCAGCAACAAGACATAAGTTTAACATTAATACTGGTATGCACCATGTAAGGAAACTAGAACCTCAAACAGATGTAATTGTTGAGACGTATCTTAAAACAAACCTGCATTTAGAATTTAACACAGCAACCTTAATTAACAAGAGATGCTTATTAAAAATTTACCTATATAGGCTCTCTCTTGATCCCGGGTCAGTCCAGGTGGAATGACAGTGGGCATGCCCGGTATGACTGTCTTCTGATCAGGCGTCTCGCTGCTCCAACGGCTCTTCTTCCTCTGTTTCTTCTGACCGAAGTCTACTGAGAGAAACAGGAGATATTAGCCATGTTAGCTGTAGCTGTGATTACTGTTACTGATGAACATAAAGTCAAGCGCCACTCAACATGACCTTCCTTATTGGCTTAAGAAATGGGAAGAGGTGATGAAGAGGCTTTAATTTATTGATAAAAGTAAGACGTGAAGACAAACTATATAATGAAGTACTGTAGTGCTGCAGAAATGCCCTGCACTACAAATGCGTTTATTGAAAACATTCTCTCTTTGGAGATGCGATACTGTTTTGGACAGGAAACCTTACCTGAATTGATTTTAGTTCGTCACCGTACTTATCGGCCACGAGTGTTTTAGAGAGAGTCCTTATCCGTTCTCCATAACATCTTTCCTTGACCTCATGACGTTTACCACAGAGGTCAATGTAAAATGTTTTGGAAAGTAACGTTGCCATATTTTTGACTATTCCACCGCAGCACTGGACTGAATATAGGAACAATACAATTTAGCATAGATACTTAACCAGATTCCAAGGAGCCCTCGTTATGGTTGAGATCAAGCGGTACATCTCTCAATAACACATAACACGGCACAGCAAAGCTAACGTTAACGTTGCACTGACTGCTGTCTAACATTACACGTAAGTTAAATGCCATTATTACGCTAGTGTTCGTTATTAGCTGTGATATTTGCAAATTATAAAGATAAACTATATATAAACCCCGGTAAATGAGAACATAGGGAGCAATATTGGTTTGCCCCCTAACGTTAGCTGGGCTGTCTCCATTTCGTGCCAGGGCTTCATGTGGGCCCATGTTACTTAGCCACATTAGCTTGACTCATGCCGCATCAAGTGAACGTTAAGAGACGTTCCGTTAACTTACCTGGTTTGGCCATTCCGGCCCCTGCAGGTGGTTGTTGTTGAACCTGTGTCGAAAAACCTGTCCCTGGATTGAACTGGTGTGGCTGCGGAAAAGATGCATTTGGCATCGGGGGTTGGAAAGCTTGTAGCGACGGAAAGGATGCTGGCGGCCCCGGTGTTGGCATCAGCCCGTTCCCCGCACCAGGCCCGGCGTCAAATCCTCGTTTAGCGCCAATACTGGGGTGCAACTTCCCTAAAGGAGTTGCGTTTGCTCCCGTGGCCATTTTCGGTGTACTCAAATGGCTTAGTCTCTGTCAAGCGTCAGTCGACTCACGTATAAATGTGTTTAAATTGAGAAAATATCAGAGTAGAGTATAGCCCGCAACCCCCTTGCACATTACTTTAATCAAAATGGCGCCCAACAGAAAACCACAAAGGATGATGGATTCCATGGAGGTGGTGACGTTCCGCTGTAGTATAAAGCATTTCTATTGGCCAGACCAAGCCCCTCCCCATAGGCCTTGTTCTATTGGGCAATTCCTTCTTCCTTATACTCATTGTGCCATTCCTGCAAACTGATTAGCTCATGTGACTATCAATCACGTTATTTATTTCTACTCATCTCTAACAAGCACAAACCAGTACTATAAATAAATGATAGTAATTATAATAATAATGTTTATAACTTTTTTTTTGGCAAATTAAGTAATTTTCCATATGGTGTAATTTTCACCAAGGTGGTCAACCTTGAACGGATATTTTGGTTGACTGTTGCACTTTGATGTGAATGCCACTTGACATTATACCAGGTGAGCACAACAAACACACAAGTCACAGTATTCAGACTTTAGACAGACAGATTTTAATTTTAATCTAATAGTTAGAAATCAAGACAGACAGCATAGGCAATTGAGGTCATTTTCATTATGAAACTACAACATATGTTTAAGATTTGAACCCTTATATTTATCACAGCAATGAAAATCCATTTAATGTAAGTAATGTGTCTACTGACAAGGGAAAAAAACATGATCACGATGCACCTTGATACAATGTAATTTCACAAAAGGTTTGATATAACCCAAATACAGAAGTGTAACCATTTTTTACACTGTGCCGATCCATATTTGGTACGAGTTAAACAACGTAGTTGACGGAGCATACAGTATTCAAATTTGTTTTGCCATTGCTTCACATATGCAGTAACAATGTGAACTTACACGGACACAAATACGCTAAAATGCACATAGTAATACATCAGATGTGGCTGAAAAGAATGTATTAAATTGAAACAACATAACCCTAAACACTCACCTTTAAAGACATGCACATGCACTAATTAAATTTTTTCTATTAACAGAGTAAATAGTGTATGAACATGTATGTACTTTAATTAGGGCACAAGTTCAGTTCTTACAGTAAGATGAACAGACCTCACCCAGGTTGGAGATAAACCCAGCATCTGCACCTCCACATTTAGGCTAAGCCACCTCAGAACTGCACCACAACACGTAAATGGGACACTGAAAGGTGGTCAACTGAGCATTAGTCGTACTGCATTTTGAAGTATAACCTGAAAATTAGATCACAACGTACTGTGAATGCAATAAACCATTCATACTCTACCCGTTGGCTCTTGTGATGGGCAAGCTTTATTGTAACCTTATTGTTACTACCCACACGCCTCACATACACAGGGCTGAATTTTGCTTCTAATATTACCAATGATATATACTGTTTAATTTGCAGTGATTCCAATGGCACTTAGGCTACCCTATCCACAAAATGTCAGACAGCTCTCACCTGGCTGTATGGGACAAGGATTAGTATGTATATCGTGCCCGCTCAGCACCGGGATCCCGCGGATGCTCATAGGTAGAACTTCTTGGGAGGTTGGGCACCGGGGAAAGGCGCGAACGCTCATATGCATATCCATCTGCCTCGGCAGGGACTCTCCGAATCGGACTCCGGTCACGTGCGTAGTATGAGGAGACTGGGGCTGGTGGAGGAGGAAGGGGGCACTCGTATGGGTCGAGGCTAGAGGGGGGAAGACGTTCCCTCATTAAAGCCGTAGAGGAGGATGTTGATGGAGCAGGCAAGGGGACAGCGCGACGTTCTTCGAAATAACTGCCTCCGTAAGAATTGGCCCTGTACTTCTCGTAGTAGTCCACGACCCCGTACGGATCCCTTTCCTCGTAAGGCGAACGTCGCATTGGGTAGGCTGGTACCGCGCCATAGAGTGAGCCGTTGCTCCTGTATGCCGCCTCGCTGCCGTACATCCGAGCCATGCTATGTTCAGCAACAGCGCTTATGCCGTAACCTGGATGCGGCCCGTATCTCATTGCACTCTCGTAGCCTGCGCCCCGTCTGTACCCCGCCATGCCGCTGCTGTGACCGGCGCCCCGGGAAAAACCATGTACAGGAGCATAGCCATAATCTGGATCGCCACTGAAGTCCGGATGATAACCCCTGCTGCGACCACGCCCGCCGAATCTCGAGGCATCGTATCCATCAGACTTTGGCTCTGAGCCGTTTCTGTGGTAGCCATTTTGGTCTAGAGGGCATTCTTTGGACCAGTGGCCTTCCTGCCCGCAACGATAACAACCCGATCTGTCTCCCATTCCCGGCGCAGTACGCAGGCGGCTAGTCGAAAGCTTCACGCTCATCAGTTTGCCTTAAAAAGAAAAGACTCAATAAGGACTTATGCCTGCATTTATTCTAAATAATATATTTGACATTTCCTGCCTGGCATACAGCAGTCTCCTAATCCACCAGTCTGGTAAAAAGCTGCATCATACTCCAAAAATAGCAATAAGACATTTGAGCAGTAAAATGTTATTAAAGCTGAAATCCGTAACTTTCCCCCTGCAGTGGCAAAAAGTAACTCAAATGCTGTTCACACTACAGTCAAAGATGTCAGAGTTGTCATGGAAGTTTGCATGCAAGCTTGCTATTGGAATCAGCAAATGCTAAAATGGTCATGGAATGATACTCTACGAGTCCGTGTGACTACGAGAAAGTTTCTCACATGCCCATGTTGCCGAAGATTCGCGGGACCGGGCAGCTCAAAACTTATAACTGGCGGACAAACATGAAAGACGTGTGTGCACAAACCAAATGAGTATAGATAGAACGCGCGCATCCATTTTGGTGTTTTCCCAACCCTTGATGGGCCTAAGCAGTCGGGGTTGATTTGTAGGAAAAATGACCTGATGAGTCAATCAAACTGCAGTAGGAGCCCGTTTGTGTTTTACAACAATCCACCCTACAGATGGACATTACCAAAGACATTACGGATACCAGCTTTAAAATAATAAGGGTTCAGGACTTCCTTACTTTCTTCAGCTTACCGTTATACCTTCATCTTTCTCTTTGTACTCACCTGTGGTGTATCCATAACTTACCCATTAATTCACAATAGGAGAATTAAATACTCTTGACACTATATTTGAGATAAACTCCCATTAAGCCCAGCCCGAGAGTTCACCTTTAAAAGCAGTGTTGTCTAACTGATTAATGGCCTCCATCGCATCCTCCATTCGCTCCATGTGAACAAAAGCATAATTTTTTACTATGTCGCACTCCAACACAGCACCGAACTCTTCAAACTTGGCCCGTAGCTCCTGGTTGGTGCAGGCGATGTTGCCGACGTGTAGTTTTGTGGATCCTCTTGACTTGCCGCGGCTCAGCTCTACGTTCATGGGCTGGCCATTGAGCTCGTAGTGGTGGAGGTTGCGGATGGCTTCTTCTGCCTCCGCTTTGTCATCCATGTGCACAAAGCCAAAGTTCTTGACAATGGTGCATTCTGCAATCTTGCCATACTGGGAGAAGAGAGAGCGAAGTTCGTCTGATGTGGTGTCTGGTGACAGGTTCCCGATGAATATTTTCACCATTGTGGACCCTCCACGTCACTAAGGGAGGAGGAGAAACCAAGATTACTGCTGCACTAATGCTGATGACTTAATTAAAACAATGACCAGTTGATTTAACCTAAATCTAAATGAAGTGGTTCCCAACCTGGGGGTCGGAATCCCCACTAGGGGTCGCCAAAGCTTCATGACGGGTTGTGAAGCCTTCTTGATTTTAAGGGGTGTAAGAATACTTAAAAAATATACACAGTAGGCCTGTATCTCAGCATTTGGTTCACTTATGTGACGAAACACTGAATTTGTCAAAAAAAGAAACCTATTAAGTATGTCCGATTGTTAAAAATGATATAAAAACAATAAATAACATAATAATGTTTGGGTTCATTGTACAGTTCTGAATATAATATGAAATATACATATATAACATCAGGGGTAGAAAATGGGACCCATAAGAAAAAAGGTGAAGAACCACTGTTCTAGTACCATTTTCCATATTAACAACACAACACAGAAGGTGTTGCCCCCTGCCCTGTGGCCCCCATTTAGTTTCAGTTTTAGCCTTCTCAGGGAAAGAGTTTGGACACCCCAGACTTAAACCAAGCAAAAGCCTTACTTGGTGTGTGAGTGCACATGCAGTGTGGCTTTTGTATGCAGCTGAGAATGTTTGTGCAAACAAGGAAATGGTGATACATAGTAAGAAATAAGTAGCACAAAGTCTAACCTTCTAACTCGTCTGCAGTTTCCATTACTGAAATGCAATGTTCTCTGTTGTTTTCACAAACGAGCTTTCACCTAATGAGGAACACATCAATAAATATTTTCCCATAAGTACATCATCTTGGTGCAAATGGGGTCCCATAGCTGGCCCTTGTAACTGCAAATTACACTTTTTCTCAGATCTTAAAAGAAAAGATGGAGTCATCACAAGTAGGGCTGCATGATATGATACATCATATTGACATTATTTTTACTGATATTGCCAATGCAATGTGATCACGAATAGTGTGGGAATGCTCATTTGTGCATCACAAATGAGCATTTTCACTGAAAATGATTTTAAAACTCTGATGATGTGACATTTTTTGGGGGGGTCAGTACCAAACAAACATGTTTTTTAAATCTAGAGAACAAGATTTGTAGACCAGGACATCTCTGATACACCACAGTACTTCATTATAATGCTGTTTGCACACATTTTACTTTCTCAAAGAATTGCAGCTTCTGCAATTTGGATATTGCAATTTCAATAATATTGCAATTAGTTGTGCAGCTCTGATCAAAAGTCTCAAACCATCATAACCATCATAGCCCACATTGAATGGGAGCCCCTTGCCTGCACCTTAACATACATGTCTATGAATCTAAATGATAAAAACGGTTATAAAAACATGCTCCTTGTCATTGGTTTTACTCCAAGTTAAACCAGCTGGTGGTGGTGTTGCGGTGGGCTCGTAATGAAGTAGTAAATAGAAGAGGAACCTGACAGTGTGCACAACACAGAATCGATTACCAACTGTTATCTGCAGAACACACTTTATGGATTTGCACCGTTCATCTCTGGCTTGTATTAATGGGCCTACGGGTTCAACAACTATGAGATGTCTTTACAAACACAAACAATGTCGGCCACCCATCCCTCTCATTATTCTTTTTCTCAGTTCACAGCACGAGTAGCACATCGCGGCTCTGCAGCTCACTTTCGTTAGCTAGCTAGGTGCTGGGCTAACAAAAGTAACGCAAGCTAAGTTAGCTGCTTTATCGAAATAGTGGCGTAGCAGCGGACAGCGGCGGAGTGGTGGGTCTTTAGTCGGTAACTAGGTTACTGGTACGTAACAGTTGTGCCTGTTGTCTGAACACGTTACACGCCTACCACGTTAGCTAGTCTGTAGGTTAGCTTAGCGATACATTTGACACAACCCGTCAAATAGGCCTGAGAAACTCCAGGAACTGCAGTGCCTGAGCTCATTCTGATAACCACCATACATTTTGGTTTGTTCATTGAGTGGTGCTTGCCTTCTTACCTTTAAAGCCGCAATGTGCGTCTCGACTCCGGGAGGATGAAATGACGACTGCCGCTTTATCGACTGACGTTACTTTACCAGCTCGTGACCAGGCGAACACCATGGAGCACACACGGCTAAGCTAACTCGGTTAGCACTTTCTGGGATGGACTATAGCACCCAGTGTTGTGCTGTCATGTTGAGTTGGAACTCAAAAGTTAGAACATCACTTATCACCAATGTTGTAAACCTCTAAGTGGTCTAACAGAGAAATCAAGTTTGTTAGAGTAGAAAATATCTTCCATAATCATGGTCTTGTAACATTTTGTTACAGGTAGACAAATGATGCAAAGTAACTCACATTTACTAACACCTATACCGCACGGTTATGGCAAAATAAGCTGTATGGTTGAAGAAAAGTAGCCCCTAGTCATGGCTATCCCAAGGGCGGATCTAGAGAAACATTCATGGGGTGGACAGAGGGTGGCATGGTATTGGTATTTCTGCCAATGTGATAGAAAAGGATTCTGTAAGACACTATAATGAGAAACTGTCAAAATATTTACATAGTATCTCAAAATGTTCAAAGAGTTTCTCATTATTTCAAGGTACTAAGTCATTATTTTGAGATACCAAATCACAATTACTGAGAAAGTTCCAATTTGAAGATACATCATGTAAAACCAACTGAAAAAATAGCTACACTTCACCATTTAATATAATTAGTCCATCAGAAATATGTTGGTATATTGGGCAAATCTATTTCCAATTGAAACATAAAATACAAAAATAAATTAATAAAATGGCCTGACATGGGCAATTACACATTTTGAATGGCTGAACAAGTGTTGATAAATATAATGCTAAAAAAAGAAAAAGAATGAAGTTTAATGAAAAGTAAGGCCCTTAATATCTAAATAGTGAATGTCCCCATATTATATACATTTTCACAGGAAATGGGCAAATGTTAAAGAAATGTCTTTTCCATACAAATAATGATCTTCCCAAGACCCAGTTTGGTAACCACTAAAGAACAAATGTCACAAACATTACTGCACTCAGGCGATAGGACGTAAAATCTATTTTATAAAACAATAGAAAGTCTTATTTTACATTTTGCCAGTTTATACCAGGGTCAGACCGTAATATGACATATGGTTGTTGCTTGAAACCAGGCACTAATGTTTAATGTCAGTATTTTGCATCAGTGTCAGCAAGTATGAGGATATATGCTCTGATCGCATAAATGAGACAGAAATAAAAATTCTGAGCTTATAAAACCACAATCCTCACAAGCAAAATAAGAGTTTCATATAATGGAATAGTTCCATTGCACTGAAAACCACAGTTAGACACCATTGTATTGGGTTTCAAGCAAACAATTGAAAAATGTCATGTCACCAAAATTATTTTGGCTTTATTAAAAATCATATTCATTTTAGATTTTTAATGTATGCTGGTACTTTTACAGCTAGTATGAAAAATACAAACTTCAAATCCACCTATATGCAAAACAAACCAAGGCACCATCAACAAAACACAAGTGCCTCGTGACTTAAACAGCCCCAAGCCCTGAGTCCTGCCTCACATTTCTGCATCTGCTCACACTGCTATGAGGAGACAGTGAACATCCACCACACACTCACATTCTAAAAGACACGGCGGGTTATTTTCTGTTGTCAGCTGTGGGCAAAGTGTGCAGCATTGCCAGTGGGAAGAAAACAGAAGTCAAGATGTTAGTTGCACAGTGCATGTCAGCCAATATTCTTATTTGGGTGTCGCTCAGTAACACTTCTCATTCAAGACTTCTGACTTCAGATCAGCATATTAAATTGATTAATTTTATATTTTGTAGACACATATTCTAATTGGAAAAAATGGAATGCTGGAATGTTTGATTATTTGTGTTATCTTAGATACTAACTCAAAGTGTGATTCTGTATCCTGACTGCACAGGTCAGTTGCATGGATATGGATTCTCTATCTTCTTACGTTCACGTGCTACAGAGGGTAAAGAGGCTGCAGGTTTTCTCTCCCGCCAAACACAACAACACAGCTTACTGTGTGTTTCAAGCATGAAGGAAGGACTGATCCATTGGCTGATAGTTGCCTTGTTGACTGGCATCAGCCTATCTTTAAAGATCGCAATCACCGATAAGTAGCCGATGTTTATCTGTGGTGTTGCATCAATTTTGAGCTAAATGTGGTGTTGGTTATTTCCAACTTGGATATTAGAGAAATAATCACTGCTTTAGAAATGTAGACAAGGCCCACGCCATATGCCGTTAGGAGATAAAATAAATGTCTAGAAGTGTCTGGAAGAATTCAGCAATAACATTTCCAAACTTCATTTTAGTTACTTTTTGTGTGTTGATATACATGTAAGTGATTGTTTTATGGACATATATGATATGGTCTCATATCGATCACAGGCCACTGAATTGAAGTGAAATTGTTTTGTGGCAGGCTTTGGGATTTCTGCAAATATCATATTATATGATGAATCTGGTTGATTTACGCCCCTGCCGATTTCCAGCACCGACAGTGAGCGGCTGTACAGCTCTGCGTCTCACATCTTGGATGAGAAGACAAAAAGACTGAGCTGAAACAAGGTAGAGGTGCTTATCTTTGTTTCCCTGACACAAAAGGGCAATAACAAAAAAAAACAAAAAAGCATTGGTTATTGGCCAAATTGTGGCTCAGAAGTTCACAATGCATCCAAAGGAAGCAACTTCTCAGTGAAACTACTGTTTGTAGCTGTAATAAAACATGCCTGAAGAGTCAGGGACCTCCACAGCACATTGCTGGACACCAATGATGATCATTTGCTTTATCCACATCCATATAACTGACTCAGATCATGTCAGATGTGTGTCTAGGAGCTAAGTCTTCTGCACTGCAAGGTACTGATAAAGCCTTATCCCATTCAAATCAGGAAGGTAAATGTTCTTATATTGATGAAACAAAAACACTTCTAAATTACATAAACAGAAGCCAAACAATTAACATTTGGTGAATTTAACAATTTGTTTCATGTGAGGAAGAAACAAAGATAAAAAAAAGAGACATGGCTGAAAACTGAACTGAAAACCTGCAGAGCAAATTACTGTTTTATAAGGGTCAAGCAGTGCAGTTTGCTAATCATCCTTATTGAAAACAGGTTACGGTAATGTGACTGAAAGGACCATTCATCAGCAGGCATCTCAGGTGCCTGGAAGATGCCAGCACGATTTCCGATCTTAATTTTCGACATCTCGTATGCTTTGCATCACGCAGACCGATGGAATCATGTAGCTTGGAGAAATGACAGCAAAGGGAAAGTCCTGCAGTTCACAAACAGACCTAGAAAGAGAGCAGAGCATTCCCCTTTCAGAAACAGGGTCTCATTCCCCCTTTATCCCGCAGCACAGCTTCAAAGGATTACAACGGATTCCGAGATCCCCGTGCCCACTGACCACCAACGCTGTACAGTAAGATGCCCTCTATTCAGTGATCAAATGAACTGTTACACTTTGTTGCTCACCTTGGCACCCAGGCTTTAGTAAGGCGCATAGCGTGACACATAATGATCCTTGGGTCGTGGAGCAGCATAGGAGCTCCTGGAGCCCGACACCGGTGACAGCCGGGTTCGTTCGTAGGCGTAGCTCGCCGAGGAGACTGGTACTCGTCTGATCGGGCTGCGGTCTCGTGCATAGTATGTGGCAGCTGATGAAGGTGGAGGTGGTGGCCGGCGGTCATATGGATCTACACTGGAGGAGAGCTTTGAGAGGGAGGATGGGGGAGGTGGGGGAGGGGGGAGATAGGACATGCGACGATCCTCAAAATAGCTTGAGCCATAAGGCCGAGCTCTGTACTTCTCATAATAGTCAACACTGCTATAGAGGAGGTCACGATCATAAGCTGATGCTCTGCTGCCGTACCTATCCCCCAGCTCAGAGCTGTAGCCACTGAGCCTACGAGGGGGAGGCGGTATTCCGCCTACGTAACTAGCCCGACTATACGCAGAGCCATCCATGTAATCTGCTGGAGGTGAGGCCATCCCGTAGCTGCCCCTGCCATAACTTGGCGGAGCGCGTGGGGGGCCCCGGCCGCTGCGACCTCTTGTGCCTTCGCCGTGGCTACCGTTCCGACTGACTGGACAGTCTTTCGACCAGTGACCATGTTTCCCGCAGACATAGCAGCCGGTATGGTCTCCCATTCCTGGGGCTGTGCGAAGCCGACTGGTGGACAGCTGTACGCTCATCAGCTTGCCTTGTAAGGAGAGAGAAGACACGCATGAGACCGTGGGGTTCTGACACGAAAGGCTCTTACCGACTATAAAACACGTTAAATGCATTTGACCGACAATCACAGAGCGAAGCGAAATAATGTGCCGTGCCAGCTGCGGGTGATCTCATGCCAGGGCTTAATCACTTACACTGCCTGGTTTATTCAAGAGACGATGTCAAACTTACTAGTGATTATTTTCGGGCCACCTGCTCAATTAATGTGGAAACATATCAGCTAGTGGCTTTTTCTTGTCACGAGAGCTCTACGGCGACAGAACAGAATCCAAACTCGTATCTACAGACAGCAAAGACAACTAGCTCTATCCTGCCCAGGAGTTCACCTTTGAAGGCTGTGTTGTCCAGCTTATCGATGGCGTCCATGGCATCCTCCATTCGCTCCATGTGAACAAAGGCGTAGTCCTTCACTATGTCACACTCCACCACCGGGCCAAAGTCTTGAAACTTGGCCCGCAGAACTTCACTGGTGACACCCTCACCGAGGTTGCTCACGTGCAGCTTAGTGGTGGACTTGGGCCTCCCTTTGCTTATCTCCACGTTCATGCGCCAGCCGTGTAGCTGGTGCTGGTGGAGGTTCTGAATGGCCTCCTCGGCTTCAGACATGTTGTCCATGTGTACGAAACCATAGTTTTTGACAATGTCACATTCCGAGACTTTGCCATACTTCTCGAAGAGTTCACGCAGCTCCTCAGCCGTGGTGTTGCAGGCAAGGTTTCCAATAAAAACTTTCACCATGATGAAGTTGTATCCTAGAAGATTTAGAAAAATGTATAAATTACTACTGTATAACTACTATTTAATGATTACATTAGGGTTTCTGCAGGTTAAATGTAAGACCGTTTAAGACCATTATGAATGCAATTTAACACCTATTTTACATCCATACTTGGAAAAATAAGGATATGTAGAAATATCAGCATTTCAGTTTTGTTGTTACAGCACGAATAATACAATTTGCTTTTCCCAGAAACACATTTAAAGTGAGACTGATAATGCAACTTTATAGAAGAAACATTCATTAACTTCATTAATCCAAACAATTTTAAGACCTATCAAAATCATATTTGTTTATATATTCAAGACATGTGAAGGCCTAAAATTCACATTATCGGACTTTGATAGACTTCGTAAGATCCCGCAGACACCCTGCACCTAAAAGGGATGTGAGGGTCAACCCCACTGTCAGTGAACAATTAAGTGGTGCAATTAATAAATACGATTGCAGAATAAAATCAGTTGCCAGTTTATTAGATATTTTGTGTTTTAACAGTTTGACACTCCACCACCAGTTTCAACCGTTTTAGAGAGATGTTTAACTGTCTGCTCATTTCACAGGCTGCAGTTTGAGGAGTTATTGAACTGTAGCACGTTATACAGAGAGGATATAACTGGTATAAATGGGGTGGACAAAGTAATAGAAACACCTGTCAGTATAACAATATAATTCAACACCACCACAAACTACAGCCTACAAAATGGCCATGCAGTCGAATCAACACCTCTCTAAAACAGTTTCAACAAAAAGCTGTAATAGAATAGCCATGTAATAAATTCTGCCTTGAGGTTATAATGATCAGTTTTTGCTGAAACTTTTGCGAGAGGTGTCGATTCAGCTCTATGGTCACTTTGGAGGCTGTTTGGTGGGCTGTTGAACTGTACTGCGTTAAGCTGAGGGGCGTTTCTTCAATTTTGTTCATTCTATTTGCTTCAATGAGGACAAGAATTGTAAAGTTGAACCAGTGTCTCTAAAACAGATAGTGAACATTATAACATACAGAGGTAGAACTTGTTGCAAGGCTTTATTAGACTACACAAGTTTGAAGTGAGTGAGTGTATGAGACTGCACAATTAATCAAAATATTATCGAAATCACTATATGGCCAAGTGCAATATCCACATTGCAGAGGTTGCAATTCATTGATAAAGGTAAACTGTGTGACAACAGCATTATAATGAAGTACTGTAGTTCTGCAGGGATGCCCTGGTCTACAAACCTTGTTCTCCAAATGTAAGAAAACGTTGCGTTTGTTTGGTAACAAAATTCACATCATGGTGATTTTAATTGTTGTTGTTTTTTCATTGAAAATGAAAACGATGTTGTAAATCCTGAATCATTTTTAGGGATGCATAATTATTGGGACAGATACATTTTCGTCTGACAATGAAAACATTTTCATTGCGAATTATTGGGATAATTAAATTACAGCAAATACACGAATTCTTGTGTAAAACAACTGATAGGCATTTGAAGAGTCCGAACTGTTGTTGTTGTTGTTGTTGTTAACAATAGTGATGTCAGTTAGATTTGGTTGGAACAGAGCTATGGAATATTAAATCATCCATCTTTGCTCACTACAACTCAGCCTGTCTTGCTATCAAGTGAGTAGTGAATAAACATAAACCGGGCGCTAGAGAGCTAGTAAAGTGAGGAAAGTGTTAGGGCATGAAGGGGTTAAAGTGCGCAGCTCCTGTACGGCAGGGTGTGAACCATACTGCCAATGGTGTAAACAAGCGAGAGGGACACCTAGCAGCTGTTAGACCAACTATTAACTCCAACTATCTGACAAAGTAGTTAAAAGCAACACTTCAGCAAGTTAGCATATGATAGACTTTCCTCCCAAAATGAAACGTACACTTTTGAAACACTGCACGTTGGTTTTCACACGAGCCACTCTCTGACGTTGGCTAACGTGCAAAAGGTAAACATGTCCCAGATAAGCCTTACGTCAGCTGACATGTCGCACTAGCTAGCTTGCTAACACTAACGTTATTCGTTTTTTCGGCGTATTTTACGTTACTAAGACTAACTACCCTGACCCTGCTGTCTGGACGGCTCTAAGTTATTAATAAATAGTGTACAGTGTGCGATGCTTCCATGTCCGTTGTCCATATTTCAGTGTAATGGCGTTCAAATGTTTGGCTAATGAAGCTAACATATGAGCTAACTGAGAACTAGCGAACGTTCACCCGCTAATAGAGCCCACATCCTCTCAGAGGACACCTAGAACAACTTTACGGTGACAGCTGCGCATTACCGACTCTCTAATAATATATTTCACCTCACGTTTTAACCTTAAAATCTGTAACCCACCTATGAAACGATGTAGGCCTCGACACCAATGAATGAAAGTGAAATGGCGCTGTTGCACCCGTGATGCTGCTACCGCCCCTTCTACTTCCGTATCGTGCTTCAGTCATTACCGCCATCACCTGAGTGGAAGTATGTACTGTACCTGTACCTGTACGGCATACATACTACATACTGTACTAGTCCTATAGCTCTGAAATACTGAATTATTATAACAAACGTCAATCAGTTAATTTGATACTTTTTTGAATCAACAGAGAAAAATAAAGGTGTTGACAGAACACAAGGCAGAAGGTAATGTTTTGATGAAAATAACCTCAAACCTTCACTACATCCTGACAGTAGTACACCAGACAGATAATCTGTGAAAACATCAGGTTCCTCTGACTCCTCCTAGTGCTGCTAATGGTATTTTAATGCATTGGACCTGGACAAAAACAACCAATCAAAGGCAATAACGACAGAAAGGCGCTTTGGGTTGGAGGCTTGAAGGTAGTTCATTCCCGAGACTCAACAAAGTATTTTCTGAAAGAACTGTTTTTTTTCATAATTTCAAGGCAGTTCACTAAAATGTTGTTGTTGTTTTTTTTGTTAAGTTTTGAAATAAACTAAAAGATAATATACTTTTCTTATTTTAAAAAAATGTTACAAACAAAAACATCTGTATTTCATAATTTAATACATATCATTTTGTATATATTTCGTTAATTTTCAAGCACCCAAAAAATTTGAGTCATAGAACGAATTCGTTTTAAAAAAAGATTTATATTTTCTAAAGAAGATTTCTTAAATTAGGGAGTTGCGAAAAACTTTCAAATGTTCACACATTTGTTTTACATTGAGACAATAAGTTGGGGTTTATTATAGTTTCTTATGTACTTCACAACAAAGCATAGTGTAGGCTAAATTACCTACAAGGTAAAAGGCAAAAGGTCAATATATATATAAATAAATCTTTGTCATGGCAATGAAAGATAACTAAATCTGCTTCTTCAGCTTCAAAGGAAATTAAAATCTTTATTTCTCATATTAACGTTACAACCCGTTCTCCATAACATAAGAGCATACTGTATTGTTATATACATAGATTTTATACACAATAACAACACAATCTTCTTAAAAACAAATAGCCATATGCATATTATGTCTTTCAAGTATCTGTCAGGGAAAGGGGAGTGTTACTTATACAGTTCCCTTTCCATAAATACCATAAATATCATTACACACACAACTCTAATGTAGTGGCATTTACATTTTAGTCAAACAAGTAGAATTACAATTTAATTGCATTCTGTTTCTATGGCACCTCATGTAATCAGATGTACATTTAGTCTGTGTGTGAGTTCAATTAATAATACAGACCTACGCTCTTCTATGTCATCAGGAGACGTATAGCTTCTTCAACAATGTATATATTTTTACATAATTCTCGGTCTTAATAATTCAAACAATGACTGAAACACATTTTGTTGTAGCTGTCGAGAACATAGGCCTGAGTGAGGTGATGTAAGAACTTGCGAACATCAGAACTTTCACAGAGTTTACTCTTTTTTTGTCAATGGGTTTCCTTAAAAGCTACCAGATCAGTTACCTCAATTTAATGTTGATAACTCTATATGACCCGAAATAACAAACCATCAGCGACAAGACTGGCTATTTCCATTAAGTTATTTCTAATGGCTGCCACTGGATCTGACTCCCCCAGAAATCAATGAAACAAGGCTGTAGAAACACTACCACCTTTGTCCACAGGGGGCGCCAGAATCAACCCAAAATGAAAGTTCCTTGTAGGGGCTTTAAGATAAATGATTATCTACTACTGTACTGGCTAGTAATATTTGAACACTTCATGAGTTAGCATACAATAACATACAGTATCCCATTTAAAGCCTGATGCTAACTGTAACTGCTGAAATGTCAGTTTTTCAGAGAATGGTGACAGAAGCCTCATATGAGAGAGAGTGCTGGAAGCTAAGTGGAACATGGAAGTGGAGTTGTAATTTGGTTCAGTGTTACACTTTAGCATTAATTATTTTCTAAATCTCATATCACCTGTTTGAGGGTGTGGAAGGTAAGGGTCAGGTAAGTGCTCCTTTAGCTTGGTGTGACATATGCTGCGTTCAGGTTATATGGATAGCATTTTAGAACAGCTGGTCACGTGATGCTTAAAAGTACTATACGTTGATAATATAGTGCTTTATTACGGTAGCCACGAAGTACAAAACAACAATTCAAAAGGTGATTTGCTATTGTGTTTTGCACTTGAGGACTATGGTATTATATCCATTCAATTTGCGTTTATTAGTGTTGCAGGAGTGATTACTAAAATCTGGAATTGAGTTAGCATTTTAGCACTTCTGGTTCACTCCCCTTGAAGTCTATGGGTTTTTTGAATGTGTTTTTGGTTTGATGTCTGAAATAAGGTGTGTGGTTAACACAAGCAAGAGACTGACTACATAAAATCTGTCAGTAAATAACCCACCTGTGAATTTTGAAGATTTTATGTGTCTTAAAAAAGGTGGTTGCTAACAAGTGGCTAAATGAGACTACAGAGGTTGTCGGTGACAAAACACGTTGACTTATCTACTCACTAGTCCGCCTTAACAGCCTTGTTGTATTTTTTAGTGAAGTTATTTTTTTGGCCTTTTATTGCCTTTATTTGATAGTGACAGCTGAAGATAGACAGGGAGGGTGGGCAGAGAGAGGGGGGATGACATGCAGCAAAGGGCTGCACTGTTGGCTTTGAACCCTTGGCCGCTGCAGCAACTCCGTACATGGGTCACCAGCTCTAACGACTGAGCTAACTGGGCGCCCACAATTTGTAGATTTTAATTAAAAAATGTAATTACAAGTTGACAGCTTAGTGGTGGTAGAGTTAATTTATAGCCTAACATTAGCTTTTTACTCAGGACAATGGGAAAAATCCCATTGGCCTTTGCTGTTATGTCATCCCTGCAGCCCTCTATTACCTTGAATGACAGACTTAGGCTTCCGTATAATTAAGTGTCTATTTGGATATATTCAAAGCTTTTAGATGTTGACGTGAACAGTGTTAATTAGGGTAACATGACGCTAACGGTGTAAAAAATACAAAATATTGTATCATGATATTTTGTTTTGTGACATTGTATCAATTATCAAAAACACTATACAGTTTTGTGATGGAACCCTTAACCACTAGCAGTGACAGCTATAATGTTGAATCTTATAGGGACGTTTTACTCAGATTTTATGATGGACAGTTTTCCTAATATTAAATAATGATAAAAACAAAATCCAATATATCGCCTTGCTTACAATATCACAATTTACTGCAATACATCAAATCGTAACCCCTATATTGTGATACGTATCATATTGCCAGACTCTTAACAATACACAGCACAACTAAATTCAGCATTACTGTGTGGAGAAACCAGTGCCCATATACCCCTAAAAAAAGGCAACCCCTGTGGCCGAGTGGTGAAGCCAAAGTCCAACTGCTTTAAACTGCAGTTCCACCAATGGTCACTAGATGCTGGCTCCAAAAAAGTGTCTCCACAGAAATCCCTTGGAAAAGGTCCTACATTCTATCACTTCCTCTACTGTGTGTCTTTGTGGCAATTATGATAATCGTTATCCCTTTAAAGGGATATTGCATACAAATACAGCTGAGTATGAATAAAACGTAATATCCCCTATATTACATTGTATTCATACTCAGCTGTGCTTGCAGCTTTACCAAATGTTCTGGTTCCAGAAACTGACAAAGACGGCAGCAAATAATAAATCAAAATAAAAGCTTGGAAACATCAGTTCAGAAACAGTCTAGATCTTCCAGCAGTAGATCTTCCCTGCTGTAGTCACACTGTGAATCAGGCTGTTAATAGTTTTTACATTGCAGCTTTATTTGGCAAACCCAACTCTCTTAGCATGCTGATAAGTCTCTCTTAGACATTTGGGTTGGTATGTCCGTTTGGTGCTGGTGTCTGCTACAGTTCCAGTCAAAGAGGACATTGTTGCCACTACAGGGTTATAGAACAGGTCTTGCAGTTCTCTTCAGTGTGAGCTCTGAAAATGTTCTCTCAGTAGCTGCTTTCATGTCCAGTCAGGATGTACAGGTTGCTCAGCGCAGAGGGGTCATCAGTTGGTGTGCTCTGAAGGATGATGTCCCTGTAAAAGGACAAAATCTCACAGCTCATCCAGGGTACGCGAATCAAACGCAACCAAAGAAATTCAGAGCTGGCCCAAAGCTTGTGATTAAGCCTACACTGGCCTGCTATGGCTCTAGATTTTACCTTCAAAAACTGTCGCACCATGACAGTAAAGTAACCATCAACTCTAAATAGGTTAAATACTGTTTCTGTAAAAGTAAAACACTGTATTTTTAAATTAATTTATGCAGAATAAAGTCATTTTTTTATATCATAGCCTCTAAATAACACAGAAAACCATTGTCATATCTCATGACAAAAAACTTTTTTATACAGCCTTCATATAGTATTTTTATATGGCAATGGTTTCTTCTGATGGTAAAAACTACTACTCAAATATGGAATGAAGCTCCAACTTAAAATCAACAGTACAAGTATCATTTTACCTCAGTACTAGAAAAATGTCTTATTATGGTACAGTTCTGTACAGAAGCCGAGAACTGCTATGGATTTTTATTTTTTTTGCACTGTTATATCGTGATAACGACTTATTATCTGGTTATCTCGATATAACAAAGTTTGTTTTCTCGTGATAATGAATTAATTTATTTCGTTATCTCGATTTAATCTAATTAATTAATAATGTGTTCGTCTTGATTTCAACCTACAAGAGCTGCCATGAACGGCTTCCAGTCAAGTACCGGTAGGCTACAGCTACAGCCAGTGGCTACGGAAGCTGTTTGTGGCAGCTCTTGTAGGTTGAAATCAAGACAAACACATTATTAATTAATTAGTTATCACGAGAAAATGATCTTTGTTATATCGAGATAACGAAATAAATGAATTCGTTATAACGAGAAAACCATCTTTGTTATATCGAGATAACAAGATAATAAGTCGTTATCCGTAGTTCTGGTAACCACAGCCAAAATATATATATTTGGTTTTTTTTACAGTGAATGAGGTTTTTTACAGTGAAAGTTCTTTGTAGGGGATTCAAATATTAGCTTATTTCTTTAATACTGCTATTAGTGCTATTGCTTCACCAGTGGATGATACTGATATTGTCCAATTAACGGTTAACATACCTGTTTGTTCCCAAAACCCTGAAAACTCGACTCTCATCTGTAATTTCTTGAGTCACCTGCAGATAAAGATGAACACACAGTGCATGCATAAATTTGACTGAAAAGAAACACACAACATCAGCTGACATGCATATCATAGATAATCACCTCGTTGGAATGGAAACTCTTCCCTTTCAGGCCGTGCTTCCAGAAAACCAGCACACTGTCCTGTAAGCAGACTGTGAGAACACGCCATGTCACTCAGCTGTCAGCGGTAACATCAAGACTCATTCACTGTTTTTCATGGGATAGTTTGTACCTAGAGTTTCAATGGGGAAGTCAAAGACCATTTCAGCTGCCAGCTCTTTGGATGGAAGCCCCCGGAGGTTCACAATCTTAACAGTTTCTGTCCAGTGAGGATCAAGATTGAGACAATGAATCAGTACGCGAGACGGCAGGAGGATGTAGAATATGTGCTGAGATGGTGAAAAGAAGTGACTTACTTTCTAACACGATGAGGACAGTGTCTCTGTCAAGCTGGGTTACCTGCGCTGCCCAGAGTGCTCCACTGTCTGCACAGGGACAAAGAAGAGGATTTAGTTGAAGCTTAAAGCGGAGCTCTATAAACAGGCAGCGGAGACACAGTGGAGACACAGTGGAGACACAGTGGAGACACATCATACCTGGAGCTGAAATAGGAGTGCTGTTCAGCTCTATGATGTCAAACTTAAGCTGTTGGCTGATTGGGCCTTTCCCGTTACTACAGTCCCTCACGCCGACGCACAGCTGGGGAAACTCGTCCGTCACCAACACCAGCAGCTCAAAGATTGGCAGAGAGTCTGGTAGCTTAATCGCTATGTGCTGCATGTCAAACAGACGGTGACATAAGAAGAAGAGTCAGGTTATATGATTCTGGGCGTGACTGATTTAGGGTTTTAAAGGAAGATGATGGCATTTTTAGATAAAAATTCAATGATCTTGTCTGAATCGATAGACCTTTTTCACAGGAGCCATTTTGATGTGAAATAGTAGGTTAAATACAGCTGTTTCCATTGATACTAATTATGGTTTACTGTAGCAGAGTGTTTCCAGTGAGCACAACAGCTGCACCCTGACTCTGTTTGACCTGAATGGAACAGAACCTTAATTATAATTGTTGGTAACTTTTTTTACCTTACTGTTTCATGTCAAAATGGCTGCTGTGAAAAAGGTCTGTTCACACAAATGGCTCTAGTGTGACATCTGTTGGCAAGTACATTTTGTAAATAGAAGTATTTTTTTTTTTGTGGCTTTTATTGCCTTTATTTGATAGGACAGCTTACGACAGACAGGAAAGGGGGGTAGAGAGAGTGGGGATGACACGCAGCAAAGGGCCGCAGGTCGGATTCGAACCTTGGCCGCTGCAGCAAGGACATTTTGTAAATATAAGGTGAAAAAGCTCAGATTTAAGTGCAGCCCAAACTGTTATAAATTGGAATGTGCTGTGAATTTACTGTCAAAACTAAATTAATCTGACCAGGAGGGAGGGATGAGTTTCCATGGTAACCCAGGTTAGACCTCTTTAAAGTTCCTTCATGAAACAGAATAAAACATGTCTGTACCTTTAGATGCATGAACTTCTGCAGAGGCTCATACCACAACAGTAGAACCAGGCCGGATGGAACCGCCCCACATAGAAATGTACTGTCTGTGTATGGGTTTCTAGCTGAGAGAGAGAACAAAGAAGTTCAATTGAGGTGACTGAATAAACATATAAAGCATATAGAGTAATCTCTACATCACTTACCTACACTACACCTCCTACAGCCTTTAGTGTCGGGAATCTTCACAGATATGGCAAACTTCCTGTGGATTGAGAGAGAACACACTGTTCAGTAAGAATAAAAAGAATGGCACTTACTACTACTGCTCCTACACTTCTACCGTTACTCCAATAACTCCAGGTCCGGTCCTACCTGGGGTTGATCCTCTCAGTGAAGCGGTTGGTGCTGAGGGACAGACTGCTGTGTTTCTTCTGCAGATGTCCTTTCTGTTCGAACAGAGCCGTCAGACTGTGGGAGTAAAGCTGGGAGGACTTCCCTGCAGGATGGAGGTTCTTTCTTAGAGCAGCAGATAATGTACAGCACTTTGTGTTCTCATTTGGCGAGATTTGTTACCTGAGACAGACATCAGCACATTGTTCATAACGTACAGCCACGTACATCGCTGGGGGAGCAGCTGTGGGAAGAGACAATTCCTTTGAGTTCATATTTACCAGGTCTGCACACCCCAGCTCAGCTATCATTTCAGTCATCAACTCATATCTCCAGTTTGGGTGATTGTAGTGCATTGTGTCGCAGCACTATAATGGTAAATGCATGGATCAGTCCTTTTCTTACCTTCTCAAGTGTATCTTCATGAAGCTCATTAAGGTTGAGTGTGTAGATACCTTCCTCTGCCCCCAGAATTAGGTACTGATCTAAGTAGGAAAAGTGTTTGTTCAAGGGAAATGGAAAAATATTCCTGCACAATAACATAAATGTGGGGCAATGATATTGTTTTTACTTGTACAACTGATGATAGTTAAAGCAAAAGCTATATGCATTAGGGAGACGTTATTGTCTTACCTCTTGTCTTGGGTAAAATCCAGGTGACAGCACAGTGGATTTTAAGAGGACAGCCGTTGAAGACTTTGGAGAAGCAGGCTCCCATCTACAGAAGCAGCACAGCAACTGAGTCACTAATGATCTGACATGGCTACAGTGACCCTTCAATTGTGGAATGATATCCATTCTAACAAAAACAGCATGTATTGTTATCACAATAATAAGTTGCACTGGGCACATTAATGACTCCAAATGCCAGCAAGCAGTAACTGAGTGTTGAGGTTTCCAAAGATACCAAATTAGGGGTGTCGATACATAAAAAATAGTGATTTTTAAAAGTGAAATATTGATTATGGTGTTAGTAATACACATAACAATGTGTAAATAATGCAGTGTCTCTTAAATCATTTCTTTCTGTTCCCGCTTTGTGGTTCTCACTCCAAGTAATGTACTTTAATACTGGTTGCCAGTTTTACAGTTGAGCAAGCCTCAGTCAGAACTTCCTGTACCTTTCCTGTACTTAACGTTAGATATGCTATGTGCTAGGCTAATCTATGTTGAAAAGATAACCCCATTTAGAAGATGGTTAAATGACTAAAGCGACATATAGTCACATCTTAAAAGTCCAGTGTGTAGGATTTATTGGCATCTAGCGGTGTAGTTGCAGATTGAAATTCACTCTGCCCTTCCATGAGTGTAGTAGAAGCACGGACGTAATTTGGGGGGGGGGCATGTCCCCTGCACTTTTTCAAAAGGCCGTTTTGGTCCCCTGCAGTTTTTACCGCCAAAAACAATGTTACACTATAGTAAACAGAAACAATCAAGCACTAGGACCAAGCGGAAAACCGCCCACAAGCTCTTCGATTGGCTCTGCCGTTTCTTTTGTGATTGGCCGTCCCTGCTGTCACTCCATCTTGCTTGCACACCGGTACTGCTATGTAAATGAGGTCTGTTTACCATATATTCCAATAAGTGTAAAGTTGGTGGTACTGAGTTGGAGTGAAGTTGACTAACAAGGTGAAACACAGAATTGGGTGATAATGTTTTGCTACATGCTTTACAACCAGTCAAACCAAAAAAGGGAACAGTAAACTTAAGAGTAGCAATAGAAAACTAGAAAACACAGTGAACTGAAAGAGTTAGTTTTATTAAAAATACGCCCCACCTCTGAAATCAAAATTTTTGTGTAGGAGAATCTATGGTGGCCGACAAATGTGAGAAAAACGCCCCCCAAATGTTACACACTCGACCTTTAAGCTAGTTAATGTTAGCAAAACATCCAACAGCTAACTAGATAACTAACAAGTGGTGTAAATTAGCTAGCTAGTTAGCCAGCGTTAGCGTTGCTAACATTCATTTTAAGATGTAACTAGCTACCTAACACTTGCTAGCATTAGCTAGCTAATTTAAGATGTGACTATATCTTAAACCTATCTCAAACCTTAGTTGTCTTTTCACAACACAGACAAGCCTAGCACACATCATACTTAAGCACAAGGAAGCCACTTTATTTTTCCCAGGATGGCAAAGTCATGACACGCCCCTACTCTGCCTCTGATTGGTTAGTTCTTGTTGCCTTCATTGGTTAGGTTTAGGCATGAGGAGTGAGACTGGTTAGAGTTGGGGTAAGAATGTCAGGGTCAGCCAGTCAGAGGCAGAGTAGGGCGAGTCATGACCTTGCCTCGGTTCTGACCATTGACAGTATTTATAATGGACAGAGCTTCCGGGTCGGAAAAGTGAAGCCAATGCAGAACTGTCTTAAACCTGCATTCTATGTAAAGGCCAGCAGGGGGAGCTCCATTGGCTGCAATTACACACCTAAACCATTCACTCTAATGGAGAATGAGCCGACTCCTTCAGATATGATAGATAGATTGATAGATAGATAGATAGATAGATAGATAGATACTTTATTTATCCTGAGGGAAATTCACTTCTTTTATGAGCTCAGTAAACAGTTTCCTAACAAATGTAGGATCTCACTCGCTAGTTTCAGTCTTCTTCCATACAGCATGATGTTTATTTAGTAAATTATAGTACAATTTAGAGTAAAATAGATGATAAAGCCGTGTATGATTTTGGGCATGGCTACTTTTTGATTGACAGGTCATTCTCAGTGAGTCTGTCCAGCACAGTGCACCAAACTCAGATCAAACTGTCAAACTAGGCAGTGCTGATCAGATATGAAGCTAGATTCTGTTACTGCGTTGACTATTACTCACCTAAATTCATTTCAGAAACATATTTTAGTGTAGTGTTTAGCTGTAATACGAGCTTGTGTGTGACCAGGCGAGCCGCCATTGTTTCTGGCTACGGATGAGTCAAAAGTATGCAGCCAATGAGCACAGCTCAACTCGCAGTCGGTCATCTCTGCTGGCTCTGTTTAACTGTCATGGCAACGACCGAAACGCAGAACTAGAGGCTATAAAACAATAATCCACAAACCAACGTCACGTCCTGATAGGTTCACACTTGGTTCTGACAGAGGCTTGTTAAACTGTTGGAGCGCTGAGCAGAAAGGGGAGGGACTTAGGAAGTGTAAAAAAAGAGACACAATAAAAGTTAAAAATGAATTTGACTGACAGAAATTAAAATTGAATCTAGATATCTGGTATTGCCCTATAACAAATATATCAGGCTGTCCAAAAACACTTTTGGACACCTTTGATGGAATAGTGCAGCTCACAAAAACTGTTCCTAGTGCAGCTCCTATCATAACGAGTAAGGAAGCTAATCCTGTTAGTGATTGCCATTGGTCCGCTTTTACTGTAGGTCACATGCTGTTAGATTTCACACTTACATGGACTTGAGGGGTAGGAGGAAGTCCATGACAATCAGCCCTCTAGAAATGTCAAAGGTTACACATAACAAATCATAGGGGATGATAAAAACTGTACATGAGATGCATTACAAATCAACATCATGTTTGGCTGCATGACTTAGACAGACATATTCATTAGGAAGTTATTAGGTTAGCAAATCACACAGGTTTACTGATGTTTACTAGAGACAGACGTTTGGCTTTCACTCACAGAGTCCTCAGTATTTTTCCTCAGTGTGCTCCATTCAGGTGACAGTGGTGTCTCTCTTTTCGGAGAGGAAACAGTGTTAGCCTTCCTCTTATCTGCTGTTACAGCGTCCCCCACGGGCAGACTGCAGCGCTGCCTGATATCCTGCGTGGCTGAGCACCTGGCCAACCCTTGTTAAACACAGGAGAGACAGTGAGAGGAAGTGCTTTTTGTCAGTCTTAACTGGGCCCTGGGCCAGTTTAGACTCACAGTTAAGACCTCAGACTCGACTGCGTGTGGGTGAGCTCTGAAAGGTTGTGATGTGCAGTACCTGCAGCAGAGGTGGAGTCAGCAGCAATGGCAGTGTCGGGGCCCAGTGTACAGCTTGGTCCCCGGGTAAGGTCACGGTCGTCCGTGTTGGGAGTTAAAGAGCTGAACGCTGGCAGGGAGGCTGTAGACGGGCTGAACAAACCACTCTTCCTACCTCCCTGAAAAACACCAGCAAAAACATTACTCACTGTGAAGGGGTCACATTTCAATATGTGATCTCAACCTGTGTGCCAATTGCATACTGTATACTAACACTGTAAAGTGTACACCATGCTCTAATGTGGACAGGTGTGGCTGTAGGGATGGTAAGGTCACTATGTCTTGAATAGCTTAAAATTCACTGAATCCATTTTGCCCTGTAGAGACTTTGGACTTTGTCTAATGTCTTTGGGGGGGAAAGAAGTTCAGCAGGGTACAAATACACTGAGTATTTTTATATGGGGATTTACTAGAGTAGGTTTACATGATTTAATGTTCAAAATGTTCAAAAATGTTTCCTCAAACTGTACATTGTTGCATCCAAATTTGATTTGTCATCTTGTTTTGGGTGAACATCGAAGTACGAGTCGGGGAGGAAACCTGCAACACTCCTGTCTGTTTAAACAGATGATTGATGTACAACGATTGAAACCAAGCAGCAACCTCTGTGGCTGCAAATGAAGTCAACACTGAAGTAACAAAAACTGCAGTTCCTCTAACAGCCACTTGAGGCTGGCTCCAGCAGTGAGTCAGTCTCCATAATAAAAATTCCAAGTATTGATTATATATTGGGAGAAAATTACAATTAATCATCTCTCTACTAAATTGAACATGCATCACTGGCTATATTTCAACTACAATTCATACTATTACTGCAACTCATAGAAGAAGCTCTAGTAACTTTTTTGGCTGTAAATCAATTGACTTAAGTTATCAGAATGTAACTTGCAGTTTATGTTACAAAATCAATATTTTGCATGGATTATTATTTAGCAGTGTATTTATACTTATATAAATACATTAAAAATGTGCAATGGTTTTGCATGGCTTTGAAGAATAAAATATGTGTTTCACAGTATCATTTTATTTTTATTTTATTATGCAGATCTGTATGTCATATCACATAAAATAAGAAAATACATTTTTAATTTGATTGGAAGAGTACCAATATGACACTGTCTGTGTGTTACCTGTACTTAGTATCAAAAAGCTCTTTCCAGAAAATTTCTTAGGACGGGATAAGAAAATGAAAAATGTGTAAAACATTACCGTTGTTACACTGAAATCCTTTATCTACATGAGAATAATTCCTAGCATTAAAAGACAGGTATACACGGAGCCACCATGCTGCCCTAAATAACTATGAAAGTTTTACAGCACAACAGCCATTTCTCTGCACCTGACCTCCACCCGGTGACCAGGGGACAACAAGTGCATACTCTGTATTTCCTGTGTTGTGCTAGAAAACCTATACAGGGCGATTTAGCCCTTGTCATTGTTGGCACTGATGCAGCTGCAGACTGTCCTCTTCATCCAGCAGAAGAAGTGATTGAAGCAATTCTTCTTCTCCTTCCTCTTCTTCCTTCCGGGATATGTGCCATCTGAAAATCGAAAGCCCAAATGCCTCAGCTGTCGTCGCTAAAATTAAAGTTCAGATGAAATGGTAGTCAGAGTCTATTTGTTTCCGCTTTTTTATGTATTTCCTGTGACAGGCAGCTAGGGAGGGACTTGTCACGGCAGCCAAAAGCGCTGTGTGTTGTTATGTCCCCCTAGTCAAGCAGCTATAGTGGACAGAGAACAGCACAGCAAGAACAGGACTGAATGCAGACTGACCTAAGACAGCTAACGTTAGCTGCACAAGCTAACTAGCTAACGGCAGTGTTGTTGGACTACACTCCTGACTTCCTTTAAATCCAGAGGGGTAAAGTCCCTGTCGATGAACATGTATTCCCTCAGTCACATCCAGCATCTACAACAATGTTGTAGTTGTCCAGGTTCTTCTACATGAGGAAATTCAGTAGATTCAACTGGAGATAACACAGTACATGACACGTGTGAGGCTTACTTGTTGACACATAGTTGGTTGTAACTTTCTGATATTAAGATAAAAGCAATATAAAACATGCTGATGAATCAAGGGACCTACTTCCTTTCTGAAGCTGCAGCTGTAGTGAGAGACCTTTACAGCAATAGTCTCGTTGGTCTCCTTTTTGATGCATTTGATCACAGCTCCAAAGCCACCTTGGCCCAGAAATGACTCCAGCTTATAGTCAGATGAACTGGATGATAAACTATCCAATTCCATTGTGAACTGTTTCTTAACCTGTTGAAATCCACCTTCCTGCTGTCACTGAGCTTAGGGTTAGGATCATCTCACGTTAAACAATTCAGTGTGGAGCTGTGCGTCTGAGATCTGATCCATACTGAGGGCATCCCCACCAGCTACTGGGACTTCATGTTCAAGTATATAAATGTAAGCTACATTTGTATTTGACACACACATATAGATTCAGTGTAAATTACATTACACACATGTATAAACAGCAGTCAAACTGAGCATTAACAATGCTTCACCTTAGACATCTCACACACTCTACATTAGGGAGCAACAAACAGCAGCTTACCTATATTACTTAAGATCTCAGTTGGATTCGTCGAGAGGCCGATTTAGTTTGAAGTTCAAACTCTTCTTCTCGTCCACTTGTAAAAAGTAAATAAGAGACTGGTACACAGCCAAGCTTCATGTTTTACATGGGTTCTGGAATATCATTATGCTGTCATGTTCTACAATTGAGATATCTGTGTACGTGGTTCCATGGTTCCGAATGTGAGCTATTTCTTATATCAGTCATCACTCAAGTACAGTTTTATAATGATTTTGGGTTTGACTCAGTTGTTGGAGAATGTTCTCAACCTATAAGGAGCATGTACTGCTTCAACTGATCTGACCAGGTAAATCCTCACATTGGAGATAAGAATACCAGGGAGTGACAAAATAGTATGTGTTAACAGGTAAAAATTGGACATTTTTTAAATTTTAAGTAAAAAAACGTATGTGTCGTATATATCCAAAACTAGGGATACAAGGTTTTCAGCTTCCAGTGAAACTAAAATCCACTCATTACTATAAGTACTTTTACATTTAGCACTGAATTGCTCTAACATTTATTTTAGTAACATGTTTACCATTACGTGATTTTTCAGCATTATAGCCTCTATTACTGAAGCAAAGGACTTCTTTCACTAAATGTCCACACACAATAACACATTCAATCTGTAGATTGAGTGAAGTGCTACGTGCTCCCTCTAATAGATTAAATGTGAAAAGTAAGTGGGTTGACGGTGAAGGATGAACGCAAATAGACAAAATCCCTGGCATGGTCTTTTTAGCTAGCAGTGCATAGCTAGCAGGTCAGCTAGCTAGCTAGCTAATAGACACACCACACTTGGCTTTTCTTGCCAAGACACACTCTGTGAAGCATTCATCTACTAGTATCGGTCAGGCAGTCCATGCTTGTCATGTCACATACAGAGTACTATTAAAAACGCTTTATATGTAGTACAAATAAGTCCAAATTCCAAATCTAGCTAGGGAATAGTTGTGGAGAAATGTGTTAATCACAGGACCAGAACCTGGGAGACTGTTCAACTCTCCTGTGACACAGTTTTTTTACTTGACTTTTTTCATTTCTTGCAGTTGCAGTTTTTTTTTACTTGACTTTTTTCATTTCTTGCAGTTGCAGTTTTGTTAAATATCATTTCAACATAATCATTTGTATTAAAATAGACCATTTCACAACATGAATTACATCTCAGAAAGCTTTTCTGGCAGAAGACTTCACACAAGCATGGGCTCCTGGCTAATCCTAGTGCTTAAATGCTAAACAGGACCTGTCTTGCCATGAAAAGCAAAGATATTCATAATAGCGCGTGCCTGTGATTCTAGACCTTTCAAAAATGTAAACTGTTGTTGTTCCCAGTCTGTAACTGGTTACCACAGTTTGCAGACATGAGGATCCACAGAGCCACAGGCTGGTCTCTCTGACATTCTAGCACGATTCGTATCGCTTTGGTTCTAGGACTAGGTGTGTGTCCAATATATGTTGAAAACCAACACAGCAACATGCTGCTTCTCCTAATGGTTTTTCTGGTGTTTTGGGAAAAGATTGTACTCGTGTAAGATGAAAATATGTTGGAGCTGACGAAAATACTGCAGAACACTTGAAGTACTTAAGTGGTCAGGTTGTTTATGTCGGTTTGAAATGTAGCTTCATGTTTTAGTGCTAAACTCGTTTAAGAAATCGCCCACGGTTTGAGTTCTACCAGGGACCTTTATTGTCACTCTCCCCCCATCTGTCCCAATATTTCCTGTCCCTCTGTCGGTTCTCAAAAAATGTAAAGAAAAAATAATTTAAAAAAATAAAATAATGAAATAATGTAGTTTATCAAGCTTATGGAATATTGGCACCTTTTGAGCAAAGAAAAAATTGTTTTTTCTGGCACATAAATGACATTTTGTAAAGAAATTATCACAAAACAGATCATTTAAACAAAATCTATCTGCACAACTGCAACTATTCTGTCTTTGTTTATTCTCCAACACACTAAGCTAACTTGAGCGCAGTGTGCAGGGATGTTGAAAGAGGGTAAATGAGTAAAAAAAAAAAAGGAATGAGAGAGCTTATTAAAGTACAATGTTAGGAGTACTCGGGTATCTGATTAGATGTTTTGTTTTTCTCTTCTTTTAAAACTCAACATTTTTAAATTTGAGTTTACTAAGAAGCTTAGACTTAAGTTAGGGTTCTTTTTCAGAAATAAGATTAAGTTAGGTTTATTTTTACAGAAATAAGATGAAGTTAGGTTTATTTTTACAGAAATAAGATTAGGTTAGGTTTATTTTTACAGAAATAAGATGAAGTTAGGTTTATTTTTACAGAAATAAGATGAAGTTAGGTTTATTTTTACAGAAATAAGATTAGGTTAGGTTTATTTTTACAGAAATAAGCAGAGCCTCTCTTTAAGCTGTAGGCAACATTTTGTATCAGTGCTGGACTATGCAGCTGTACTTTACATGAATGTTACTGCCCATACCATCAAGCCCTTGAAAGCTGTATATCACAGTTCTCATAGATTTATTACAGGTGACAGAACCCACCATTGCATAGTCTTGATTGTATTTACACAGCCATCCCTATTAAGTTAGCATTTTCTTCATAATCACTTCTAAGATTTAGAAATATGGAATAAATGGATAATTTGTTGATAATAAATGCTAAAAATGTATACATTTTAGGCTCCTTCTGAATAATGTTTTATATAAAGAATGCTCCTGTATTTCTTAATATGTCTGCTTGGGTAAATGGACCTGTACTTGTATAGCGCCTTTGTAGTCTTCTGACCACTCAAAGCGCTTTTACACTACATGCCACATTCACCCTTTCACACACAGTGATGGCAAAGTCCATCAAACAGAAAATAATTCATTCATACACATTCACACACCGATGCACAGCATCAGGAGCAATTTGGGGTTCAGTGTCTTGCTCAACATGCATCAGGAGGAGCCGGGGGATCAACTTCCTTCCTATTAGTGGACGACCCGCTCTACCTCTGAGCCACAGACGCCGTGTTGTGTTTGTGTTTGTGTTGTATTTATGTTTTGTACAAGAATGGTGGTATAGTATATTTTATCTGTCAATATATCATATATTCAATCTGTGACATAATTGTCGACTAATCAGTGTTTGAAGTAGAAAAAAAAAAAGATTTTAAGATAAGAGGAACAGCAGGGAAGCTCTGAAAAGTTGTTGATGGCAATTTCAATTTTTCTTCCTACAGTATTTAGTACAAATTCACACTTTCAAATTAATTTCCTATTTCTATTAGGCATAATTACTGCATGTTTTTTCCAGGTGTATACATACTCAAACCTACAGTATGCAATTGGAACACAGCTTCAGTTTCTGGTTGTATAGTTATCACTCACGTCAGTAGATGGCGCCCTCTTAATTGTCAAACTCCTGAAAGACAAAGGAGCAACAGTGTCCTGATCAGGCTCCAAGTCATCTGATGAGATCCAAATCAAGCATCACAACAACAAGCTGGACAACAAAGGTAGATGCTAAAGAAGCTGAGGGCAGGCTAACAGCAGCACAAAAACAAATATCCGGAGGCAACGCCACAAAAAAAAGCAAACAAAAAGCCAATGGGTTTGTGCTAAATCACATCCAGCTCATGAAGAAGTACAGCGGGACTTTAGGGTTTGGGATTAGCGGAGGGTAAACACAAACCCACTGATTATGCATTAGCTGATTTCATTTCATTAAACAAAATCATCACAAGCAGTTTATTTCAGGTGAATTCATGTGGGATGGGGGGGACACTGCTGTTAGGACAGGCTGGAGTTGATGGACGTGGCCTACCTCAGCTGCAGAGCTTGCTCCACACATTCCAACAGGCTCCTGCAACAGGAAGACCTGGTGTTTATCTGACTACGGGCCTGAATGGCCCACAACAATGGCAGGGAAGGAACCAGAGGTGCACTCCTATGGCTTTCTGAGGTCCGACAGTAGTGCTGATATTTGGACTGAGGCTCAAATGATCTAATCTACTACTGCTACTACTACTTTTCTTGTTATTGCTATTTATACCCCTGCTATTATGAATATCAGTAATACTGCTATTAGTACAATTATTTCATAACAATCAGCCTATTAAACCAATCTAACTATAAAGGATCCATGCAGGTCAGACCAAGATGTTTCATTCTTTAAAACACTCTGAGGCTGGTGACGGAAAATATGTTTTTGTCATATTCGCTGAAACTTTCACTTTATCCTGACAGTAGAACATTAACAGATAATCTGTGAAAAAATCAGGTTCCTCTGTCCTAATGACATTTGCAAGAATCCACCGGCCTGAATGAAAACAACAAATATGACAAAAAAGTTATTTTTATAAAAATTACCTACTACCCACTTTCTGTCATTACAGATACACTTTCTCTGATTGCTATGGTGCCCAAAAGTGCCCCCAAATCCGTAATGGAAATTTGGTAAAAAGAGGTTTCACAGTTATCACACACACACACACACACACACACACACACACACACACACACACACACAAACACAGACACACACAGACACACACACTTTTTGTCCACCCCACTTTCAGGTAACCTCTTCAACTCTGCACTGACAAGTGCCTGAATGGGACCAAAAAAGGTGCCTGTAATTCAGAACAACCCCATCCATAAACGCAACATAACCCTAACCCAATTTGTATTTTTTATCCATTTTAACACGGAAAGACAAGACAATTATCCAGTACTCAGTACTGGTGAGTACCAACCCATGTCAGGCACTGGCGCAATCAAAATACGTCCGTGGCCAATAATACTGTCTTTCAGAGGCGGTAGGAGGCTCAGTTTTAAAATTAGAGGTTCCCCTGACCTCTGACCTCAAGATATCTGAATGAAAATGGGTTCTATGGTTACACACAAGACCCCTTTACAAACATTTTATGCTAATCCCATGCAGTTTTTTGCATGCAGTATAAATGTTCTTGAATATTTCTGCATAATAGAATCAATAAACAGTATTGGAATTGAACAAATTGGGTATGACTGGAAGTACAGTAGCCAGTTCATTGCAGTGAGACCATTTTTTGAAACTCAACATATTTAAAAACTGTAGGCTAGGCTGAGATTGAAATGAAGTTGACATGAGAAAGTTAATTTCCCACTTTGAAACTCATTCTGGCACCACTGACTGCATCCACGCTCACTGATCCAAGTTCAGTTTTAGATGTTAACACAATTCACAAGCAGGGAGGAAATCTTTGGATTTGGGGGGCCCGTTGGACACTGTTAAAAAAGAATCAGAGTGTATTGCTGACAGAAGAGTGGAAGTTTTTCCATTGTTGTTCTCAGGTTAACTACTGATCGCTTCAGGGGAGGCATCCTGTACAGCTGTGACATCTTAACAGATAAAACCCATAATATTCTTAACTCAGAATGTAGGGGGAAGGGTAAAGAGGTCTTACGGTGAGTTGTCTTCATCTCCAGACAGACTCCAGTCATCGTCATAAGAGCCCTGCTGGAAGGGAAACCAAAACAGAATCTTTGCTCATATTCATTCATCGGTATACAGCACTGTCACAAAAATAACCTGCAGAAAAAGTGCATTACCAAATCAGGATAAGGCTCTGTGACTTTCCTCAGCGGAGGCCCAAACTTCACTTGGTCAACTGCAGAGAAAACATGTTGAGAATGAAATGAATGAGGAAGCATTCACACACGATTCAGGGTTGTATCAGACCCAATGTGCTCCAGCACAGTCCAGGATTTTTTCATGTTCACTATTGATGAGCACTCACTCTCAAGTGCATTGATTAGCCTTAGTTGGAGCCAGACACCGGATGTACTCCGCACCACACATTACCTATAATGTCAATCTAACCATGGTAGACTGGATTCTATAGCCCTGACCTCCTCATACAACAGCTGATAGCAACATGGCGACCGTACAACGACCATTCTGTTCACTTATCACCTGGACTATACCAACACTCCGTTCAAGCATTATTATTATAGCACCATTATCCTGTACAAAGGTTGCACTGACTTTCTACAATGTCTACAACACAATTTACACGGAACAACTCTTAACATACAGTATATACACTGAAACCTTCAAGAACATTTGAACTAAAAGCTTTTATTGTTTAGACTTAGTTTAGATAAGTAGTCCATCTTGGCCTTTCCCATCTATTTGATCACTACCTAACTTAAAAACATAAAAATTAAAGAACCATTGCTTTTTTTGATCTGTCCCACAGATCAGGGTTTTCTTGACAAATGTCAGACAAGATTGACACTCATCATGTCATCGACATCCACACTTCTTATTGATTACAGAGATCACACATTCTCCACATGAAGGCAACTTCAAAACTACTCGACAGATTTACCTTTGCAATGGATATACAGTGGCAAGAAAAAGTATGTGAACCTTTTGGAATTTCATGGTTTTCTGAATAAATTTAGTCATAAAATGTGATCTGATCTTCATCTAAGTCAAGTGTATTGACAAATAAAATGTGTCTAAAATAATAACACCACATTGTTTTGATCTTTCATGTCTTTATTGAGAACAACCAAAAAAACCTCATAGTGCTTGTGGAAAAAGTATGTGAACCCTTGAGCTAATGACCTCAAAAAAGCTAATTGGAGTCAGGTTTTAGCACACCTGGATAGAGGTGGGCGATATATATCGTTTGTGATAATATCGTCATTGTTGTTTTGACGATGTGCAAATTTCCATTATGGAGTATTTAAATTACGTCAAAAATATTGAAACGCACGCGGAAACTCCTCACATCCATTAATACGCGGTGCAGCAACTCTCTCTACAGCATAGCAGGATTCAGTCACGCGACTAGTGGGCCTCACGTGATCACGTGACCTCTCGCTAGCATCCTCCTTGCAACAGTTTAGCAGCGCGTTGTGATGGTAGAGAGAAAATGCAAACACCTCCAGTCCCTGAAGCTACCGGTACTTCAGATGATTTAGTGCCGAGACGTGGGTCTACCTCTCTGGCATGGAATGGTTTAGTTTCAAAAAGACTGATAAGGGTCTGTGTCCACCAAACACGTTTTTAGTGCTAGCAGCGCCTATGTTGAATACAAATCCTATGAGCTTCAGCGTTCAGAGCGCTAAGCGCCTTCAGCGGTAAAAAGATGCAGAGATGTTTTTTTTAGCGCAGCGCTCAGAGCGCTTCAAGTTTGAAATCTGCTCAACTTTTAACACCGCTGGGCGCTCGGAAAATTAGCGCTAAAAACACATTTGGTGTACACAAGCCCTAACTCAGACAATTCCAATCACATTTGAAAGGATATCGACTGATTATCGTTATCGCCAAAATCCCCCAAAATAACGAGATATTATTTTTTGCCCATATCGCCCACCCCTACACCTGGAGTCTCTTTAAGATAATAACTTTGGAGGTGTGGACTACAGCTACTTTGACTGATAAAAACCCCTCAAACTTTTGGAGTTTGCTCTGCACAAGAAGAACACGCTTATGTGAGCCATGCCTCGCCAAAAAGAGCTTTCAGAGGATCTACGACCAAGAATTGTTGATTTACATAAAGTTGGCAAGGGTTACAAAGTTATTTCAAAGACTTTAGAAATTCACCAGTCTACAGTTAGGCAAGCAATCTACAAATGGAGACACTTTGGGACTGTTGCTACCCTACCAAGAAGTGGGCACCCAGTCGAAATGACACCAAGAGCACAACAAAGACTCATCAATGAGGTAAAGAAACAACCCCGAATGCCAAAGATTTGAAGGCATCATTGGAACTTGCTAACATCTCTGTTAATGAGTCTACAATACGTAAAACACTGAACAAGCAGGGTATCCACGGCAGGACACCACGAAGGAAGCCACTGCTTACTAAAAAGAACATTGCTGCACGCCTGAAGTTTGCAAAAGACCACATTGACACTCCACAGCGGTATTGGCAAAATGTTTTGTGGACTGATGAAACTAAGATTGAACTATTTGGAAAAAACACACAGGACTACATCTGGCGCAGAAAGGGCACGGCATATCATCATGAAAACATCATCCCAACCGTAAAGTATGGTGGAGGAAACATCATGATTTGGGCCTGCTTTGCTGCATCAGGGCCTGGCCAGCTTGGAATCATTGAGGGGAAGATGAATTCCCAAGTATATCAGACAATTCTTCAGGATAATGTGAGAATGTCTGTACGTCAGCTGAAACTGTGTAGAAGGTGGGTGATGCAACAGGACAACGACCCAAAACACCGGAGCAAGTCCACAACAGAATGGCTTCAGAAAAACAAAATCCGCCTTTTGGAGTGACCAAGTCAGAGCCCAGACCTCAACCCAATAGAGATGCTATGGATTGACTTGAAGAGGGCCATACACATGAGACGTCCAAAGAATATGACAGAGCTAAAGCAGTTCTGCCAGGAAGAATGAGCTAAAATTCCTCCTGAACGATGTGCAGGTCTGATCCACAGCTACAGGAAGCGCCTGGTTGAGGTTATTGCTGCCAGGGGGGGGGGTCAACCAGTTATTAATTCTAAGGGTTCACTTACTTTTTCCACTGCCATTTTGAATGTTGAATGAGAAGATAAAGACATGAAAGATCAGATTTTTTTTGTGTTATTTTTACACACATTTTATTTGTCAACACCCTTGACCTAGATGAAGATCAGATCACATTTTATGACAAATTTATTCAGAAAACAATGAAATTCCAAAAGGTTCACATACTTTTTCTTGCCACTGTAGTCTATTTTTTGGAGACTATCTGACCATTCCTTAAATGTCACCAGAAGGCCCGCATATTTCCATGTGTACAGTATCAAAATCTAAAGGGCAGATAGCTTATATGACCACTCACATCCACTTTCCTCTAGCATCACCATCAGGTCAAAATATCAACTTAGAACACAAGACACGCAGAACTCCATTTCCAGATGAATTCTGCAGACTAGCTGTTAAGATGTATCTTGTTTTGGCTTCTCTGTTGAAGTGACTGGGGTGTGATTGACAGGAGGAAGCAGGCCGTCCTGTAACCACAGAGAACCTGAGCTATCGGTCGACACTCTGTCTTTGAAGCAGATGATGGGAAACTAGCGAACCAGAAAGCAGAAGCTGCTGTCTCGTCTCGGATCAGTTAGCTCTCTCTGCTGAATGCCTGCATCCATAGATTATCGTAATTTTAAAGTATAGAACTTGATATAAGAAGTCTTTGAGGTTCTTTACTGTTTGAAACTGAATATTAGTATGGCAGGGATAGAAAACCAGTTGCAAAATGTGTTTTGTAATGACCAAATACACAACTATTATTTATTTTGCATGTTTTTACTACCGCTTTGAATTTTCTTTTACCTTGCCAGCAGTCCGTGGTTTCACTTCAGTATGAAAATCAACTTGTAGAGGCTTGAAAAAAGCTTGTAACAGAAATTCCATCACAGTGAACATGGTGTGTCATTTTTTAAAGATCCATTGCTGTCGCAACATAGAAAAGTGATTGGTGGCAGCTGATTTGAAAGCTCACCACTGTATTACATTCGCCACTGCTCCATATTATTTGTGGCTTGTTGCATTACTATTTCTGTGTTACCAGTTGCATTCTGCCAACTATTACCTTCTTTTGCCTGATATTTAACGTTATTTATTGCACTTTTCCCCCCATAACCTTCTGAACCATTCTGGCCCCTGCTAGTAACCTTGCGAGGCAGATGGACTTGCAAGATCACAAGATCGTGCGCAAACCCTTGCCAGGCTTCGAACTATGCACTCAACGACTGCAATTTCCCAGCTTGGGATCAATAAAGTCTATCCATCTATCTATCTATCTATCTATGAATACTGGCAGCTACGGCACGAGCTACCGCCGTGGTTTAACGTTAGATGTGCTAGCCCCAAGGAGGAGCTCCGGGCTTTTAAGCCAATTTCACATAGTGGCCAAACCTTGTAATGACAGCAATGGTGTCCGTTACGTGATGCACACAGGCCCCAAAAGACAATTGCCCATAGGCTTACATTGTGAGTTTACAGGTTTTTTTGAGCGTCACAAACCAAAAACTGACTTGTTATACTATCAGAATTTGATCCATTCAGTCTGATAACATTTGGAAAGTCTTGGAGAACTGCACAGTTAGATTATTTTATCCCCATTCAACTTAGTGGAGGTCTAAACCGGAATTTAGTTAGATCATCAGTCTCATATGTGGAAGATCTGGGGAGTTTTATACTTGCAAATTTAACTTTTTTGGCTTCATGCGCCACTAAGCAGCTTCCATAAGAATGACTGTAGCCCCGCCTCCAACACTGTATCCAGTTCTTCCTTAATACATCCATGGTAATAATGTGTGGGAAAAGTGAGGAGAATGTTTGCTCGAAAACAACAATGGCGGCTGCTAAAGATGATAGCATAGATGCTGCTAGCATCAGTTACATCAGAACTGGACAGTATTTCTTCATTGAAAGAAGAGCAAAGAACAGCACTCAAGGCTTTTCTCTACGTAAAATACTTTTTACTCTTCTCCGACTGACTTCGGTAAGATTTTGCCTACCTTCTATGGTTTGTTGAACTGACTGCAGTTCACCTATGATAGACGGTAATAAACAGATGTTTCATCCAATCACCTGCCAAGTATGTTTATTCTTAACTGATGTTTGCTTGGTTAAACAAAATATATATTCTTCAATTTTCTTTATCTCAGTATGTTCTAGTTGTACGGCTGGGTGTCATTAGACATTTTTAGCCTTGCTTGCAGTATGGCTCTATGGGGAACAACATCAGTCTGCCAGTCAGGTGGTAAATGGTAAATGGACCTGTACTTGTATAGCGCCTTTCTAGTCTTCTGACCACTCAAAGCGCTTTTACACTACGTGCCACATTCACCCTTTCACACACATTCACTCAGTGATAGCAAAGTCCATCGAACAGAAACTAACATTCATACACATTCACACACCGATGCACAGCATCAGCAGCAATTTGGGGTTCAGTATCTTGCTCAAAGATACTTTGCCGTGTGGGAGGAGGAGCCGGGGATCAAACCAACAACCTTCCAATTAGTGGACGACCCGCTCTGCGTGCCCTAATGACTTTGGTAATCCCCTTAAATTTTCTGCTACTGCCACCATGAGGTTGACATTTGTGGTCTTAAGTTTTACCAGCTGTTGGATGGATTTCAATTAAATCTGGAACAGACATTCATGGTCCCAAGGGTATGAAGCTCAATAACTTTGGTGATCCCCTGACGTTTCATCTAGCGCCACCAGCAAATCAAAGTTTTCACTTATCTTGAGAAATATCTTTAGAGCTTCTCAATGTCAGTAGCCTCTGCAGTAGTGTTACTAACATCAGTAGCACTGTGTACCTTCAAAGCACATATTGGTGCAGGTGTTGAGTGGGTTTTCGTATCTACGTCTAGCACTCGGTATGGTAAGGGAAGTTGAGGTCAGCGTCACATTGATTTATCATATGGTACCGGGCAGACTGTGAAGCCAGACTATCACACTTGCGCCACAAGAAGCCTATTAGCAGTGCAGCGGTATGAAATCACTCCAGCCAGTGCATAGAAGTACCACTGTCTGTCACACACTAGTGGCATGTTCTCAGTGCCATCCTCTGACGCAGCCTCCATCCCACATGTATGGACGGGTTACAGGACGAGGGCAGCCATCAGCAGGCTGACTGAGAGGCTTTTGTCCTCATTCATATTATGGAGATTACAGCACTGAATACTGGGGGTCATAGTGGACAATGAGGCCACTCTTCAGCAAGTACAACCAGCATACAGTATATTTAGACATGCATGCATCAACTGCACTTGCAAGTAAAACGACTGTCAGAAACTGTATTACTCTGCAATATTTAACAGTGTACGGAATATATATTTACTGGAATGATGAGTGTGGGTGTTGATTTGCCTCCTACACTCCTTCCCACATAGATTAAATTGGTCTGGCCCATACACTCAGCCCTAATACAGCAGTGAATTATGGTCCAGATGTGGCAGTGACATGGCATAGCCATATCTCAGCCAACTATATGACCATAGCTTTCATTCCCTGTCTTTCTGTCAGTGATGGGAATAACGGCGTTATAAATAACGGCATTACTAACGACATTACTTTTTTCAGTAACAAGTAATCTAATTGATTACTCTTCCTATCTTAAAAACACTGTTACCGTTACTGCCAAAAAATGTGGCATGTTACCATAATTGAAGCTGTTTTCTTCATCAGACCAACTAGATCTCTGAGCCGAGAGGCAAAGACTTTTTTTACTGTTCTTCCTTGGTTAGTGGGCAGTGCACGAGACAAGCGCATAAATGCTGACGATTGGCTGAGGTTGAGTAAAATTTCATGGTAAGCCAATCGGAGGTAGAGTTGGGCGGGTGTTCGAAAGCACCCATAGTCGGACACACAACGAACAACACAAGTGAGTCAGTCAACGAGAGAGAGAGAGGCGAGTTGTGTTGCATCTTATTACATTTGCACTAAAAAGAGTGTATATATTGTTTGAATAAATTTTTGGTACATTGCTTAAAGGGCATCATTTAACTTAGATTTATTTGTTGGCTGGCTGCAGCCTCTTGAAGTGAGATTGTCAATGGCCAGAGAAAGAGATTTATTTTTATGGAGATGTATTTTTTATTTCTTATGTATTACCTGTTTATATTTGGATTCCTTAGTTTTGCTATACATTGTACTTTACAGTTAGATTGAAAGCACCTCATATTGTTACACTGTTCTACTTTATCGGGGAAGAAAATACTTGAAGTACAGTATATCTACCAATTGTTTGAAGTAGAACAAGCATAATTTAATTTTGCCCAGGTGTGGCCTGTTGAGGGGCAATAACAGCAACATTAAAATAGTTTAGATTTGTGTACATTGTTTCTGTTAATAATGTATTGTATTAAGTGTCCATTTCATTATAATATTCAGATTTATCATAAATAATTGAACATGCACATGTATTTTGAGTTCTGTTAAAGAGGGGTGGAGGTGGGGTCACATTTGAGCATTTAAAAATGTTCTTGAAAGTAATGCAATAGTTACTTTCTAAAGTAACTAGTTACTTTTATAATTTGTAACTAATTTAGTTACTTTTTGGAAGAAGTAACTAGTAACTGTAACTAATTACTTTTTTAAAGTAACTTGCCCAACACTGCTTTCTGTTGTGTTCTTTATCAATCATGGAAAATTCTAAGCAAATGATGTAGACCAAAAAAGCACAGTATATAACTCCAGCTCTCAGATTGCTACATCGGTCACCGGTTTCTCAAAGAATCAACTTTAAAAAATCCTATTGCTTGTTCATAAGTCCCTGAACGGTTTAGGTCCAATATATTTCAAATCTCCTGACCCAGTACAAACCTTGCAGACCTCTCAGATCAGTTGGTTCTGGATTACTGGTTGTTGGCAGAGTCAAAAGTAAGCATGGAAAACACTAGTTTCAAATGTGGAACAAACTGCCAGAAGACTTCAAATCCAAACTAAACACCTACCTATTTACCACTGCTTTTAGTTAGTTGTCTTTGTTTAACCTGCACACAAAGAGATATGTAGCCATGTGCTGGAACTATTTCTTGTCAATTCATCCACCCTACACTTCTGTGGCGCATCTCTGGCTGCAGCTCATGATGCCAAATACAGTCAATGAGCACAGCTTTTGGTTTTGTCCTCTGTCTGTACAGACACAATGGTACCAAACCTTCTGACCTCACTGTGCCGACAACACTTTGGGAAACTGCGGCTGTTGTCCGCCAACTGCAAAGGGATAGTTACAGCATGCAACTCCCCCTGAAACCACAAGTCCATTTTAACATTTCTGTTGCACTATGCCTTTAGGAGGAATACTCCAGCATTTTGGAACATATGCTTATTAACAATCTAACTCACAGCCAGTCAATAGTAGTTTCATCTCTGTGCGAGTACAGACAGATCTGGGACATGTTTAGCCTAATGCACAGGCTGGAAAAACACAGCTTTCAACAACTCCAAATTTCTTAAAATTAAATCCGAATGTGTGGGTGTTTGTGTGGATGTGGATGAGGATGTGGGTGTGGGTGTGTCCTCACATTGTTCTTCAGAGAGGGTCCTCTCTACAGGCAGGTGTTTCCCTGCTGACTGAATCTTGTCAGGAGCCACTTCCCCAACCTGTCAACAGATACATGACACACCAGCACAAACACTGAGTCTGACTTTAAAGCTTTACACTTCTTGATTAAATATCGGAACAGTGAATCTCCTCTGTCGGCCAGCTTCTCTGCGGCACTGACCTCCAGCTCGTTGTCGTCCATGCTGTGTGTGTGGCTGCTGTGGAGCTCAGGGTTGTTGGCCATGTCCAACAGCTCAATGACCAGGTTACGGGTCAGCAACTGTGTCACAAACGGATGCTGAAGGAACAAGTTACACATCATGACCTTGAGCAGTAATAGAAAACTAATATTGATGTCAGAAAAGCATACAAAATGATTTTTGAATCAACGGTAATATCTCTGATTTGGGGCTTTCTTACTATTATTACTGATTAATCTTTAGCCCTTATTTACTTTGTATTATTGTTCAAAGTAAAGAACACAAACACTACTGCTAAAATGAAATGCTGTTCATATCCGTATAATGCATTCAGATTCATTTACACTCCTATACTACTGATTAGCACCCAGTGTGAATGCTCTGAAGTGTATGAATGTGAGGCTTTTATTTCTGCATGCTCTGGTGAAAGAGAATTTAACTTCTCAAAGGGTTAAAAATAGAACTCATTGCATTTATGAATAGTGCATATAATAGTGACTGTGTGAAGACGGATGGCTGGTTAACCGCCATTCATTACTGACTAGCTATAAGAGTGGGCTAACCTGCAGCAGTGTCTCAGCTGAGGGCCTTTTACGAGGGTTTTTAATGAGAGCCATCTTCACAAAGCTCTGGAAACCCGCAGACCTGCAGTGAGAAGAAGTGAACAGGAGATTGAAACATACACGAAGGAGATATTGACGAAGCTATATGCATGCTAGGAAGAGGTAAACTCACCACTTGGTTTTATCCTTTAGTCTTGGAGGCTGGAAGTTGCTCTTGGACATCAGCATCAGCGCTCTGAAACATTGTTTTAAATGTCACCAGGCTGGAAAATGTCTTAACTGTTTATAGGTTATGACTAAAAGAAGAATAAAATACAAAGCAGGCAGGCAAAATGTTACATAACACAAGTCTCTTCTGTTTATGTCTCTGCTTTCACACCGTGCACAGTTCATTCAGTCGGTCTGTTCCCAGCTGTCTGTGCTGACTCACCTCATTGGGTGGAGGTCAAACATGGGCGGCTGGAGCTCAGCCAGTTCGATAGCAGTGATGCCGACGGCCCAGATATCACACAGGTGGTTGTACCCGCCCTTTTTCTCCACTGCAGCCACCTCTGGAGCCATCCTGGACAGATGAACCAGAGAAGAGGAGACAGAAAGGGAGAGGAGCATGAGATAAACACTCCTGAAAAGGACGTGGACACAGTATGCAGCAGACACCTAGCATCAACTAGACATTGGGGTCTACCTCTGATATGACTTATCTTTATTTACTAATATTAATCAAGTTTGGTAAAATTATTTTTTTCTACAAAAAGGCGAAGTCATTTCATAAAAGAGATAGTCACTGTAGTGTTTATCAAACGTTACTCCAACAGGAAGAAAAAATGCAGTTGTTGGGGACTATCTTCAGCAGCGGATGATTTGGTGCTCTAGTAAGTATTTGGGGCAGCAGGTTAGTGTATACGAGACTGAGTCAAAATAAACTAGTGTGTGTGTTCATGGTAATGAAGGAACATGTGACCCAGTGCAACAGTGTGGGTCATAGGTGTGCTTTTAATAGTTTTTGGACAACAATGGTGCTCTATGGCACAGAGAAAAAAGATATATATATATACATTGTTACCATCCACTGTTTAGATGTTGGTACTGTTTAACTCTGATTTGAACCTGATGAAGGATTTTAGTCATCGGACGTCTGGATCTTAAGTTATCAGAGAAACAAGCTGAGCTAACGTTAGCAGCAGCTCGGCTCGCAGCCCCTCCGGGACGTCCTTTGTCTGTCCAACAGTGTGGGAGAACAATGATTTTTAAGGTGGAACTGCTTTATTCAGTGTTTTTAGTGGTTTTAATCAGTGGGTCTGTTACTACTATTAATAGTATTTACTGCTATACCTACAGTATGTAACGATAACTCATTATTTATACTACATACACTATAGACAGTCCAACTACTTGTTTCTATGAATGTAAGAAATTGTACTATAAAGAAGTTTCAAAGAGGAAGTGCACCATTTTAGATTTTAGTCCGTTTACTGGTTGTGGGAAGTAAAAGAATGTACAAACAGTTGTAGGGATTTGTGATGTATATCACTATATTAAATATACAGACAGGAATATTGCTATAAACTATTGGCTAGTTGCAGACCTCATCCAAAACATACTGACAGCAGTACTGTGTCACAGGCTGAATTCCAGTCTGCAGGGTAGTATAAACAGAAGTATAGCGAGGTCAGGTGAGTCCATTCATCTTACCAGTAGGGAGTTCCTATAAAAGACTTCCTTTTGGCTACAGAGGCGCTGATCTCTGCTGCCACACCAAAATCAGCTAGACACACAGGAGACAGACAGGGTCACACGCTGGCTCAAATCCACTACAGACAGCCTATTTAAGCACACTTGATGAGCGTGAGCAGTTCGATAGGTATTGCAGTGTGCGTGCACGTGTGTATGTGTGTCCAACACAGATCACCACTGACCCAGTTTCACATCTCCTCGCTCTGTCAAAAGGATGTTGGCTCCCTGCAGAGAGAACACACTAATCTAAGCTCATGTATACATTACAACCCACAGTAAAACACTGCGTGATCACAATTATACACTTGACAAAGCTTTAAAGATCTGCCTTACCTTTATGTCTCTGTGCATTTTGCCAGTTTCGTGCAGGTGATACAAACCCTGGAAAAAGCACAGGATGAAAAGGTTATTTTCTCTATACATCTTGTATTATTAGTTAGCCTATGGTTGTCAACTGTGCCTGAATCAGGCCAAGAAAGGTGCAAGTACTCAAATTTAACACAACCCTAACCCTGATTCTTTTAGTGGTTTTTATCCATTTTAACAAGAACATTTTCAGAACTTTTTCCTTTTTTTTTTTCACTCTAACCACCATTCTCAACCTAATGGACACTAGCTAAGGTAGAGTAGGACCAGTTGAAAAAAAACCCTACTCACCATGAAGTGGCGGTACGCAATAAGAAGTAAGTGTACTCGTGTGGACAAAAATTACCTGTGAGTACTGGCCCATTTCAGGTACTGGTTGTCAATCACAGTACAGGTGAGAGGCAGATTAAAGCAGTTAGGGGAAGCTGTTAACCAACCAGTACTCCTGGCTGGAATACGACTTATCCCCAGATTTTCTGCTCAGCAGTTTCAGGTAGTTTGATTCAATCCACTTTTAGTTAAGAATATGAACCATGTCAGCACAACATAAAGTTTGAAAACATTATTCTGATTTGAATTTCAGTGTAATATATCTCGGAAACTTGACGTCTGGGCTGAACAAGCAGGACAGATATTTATTACAAATACAGGTAGTAAAAAAATCTCCAACAATCCCTAGTGGATAGAAATAGTTCAGGACTTGTTCCCTGAGGCACACCACTAAAAATGTGAAAAATACTGAAAATCTTTTTTAATCTGAAATGAGTTCTATATATTTTCTGTGTCTGAAGAACTTGGTGTTATTTCTTTCTGTACTCAGGCCAACAGAATGGACTGTGGTAGACCTACCCTGGCTTTGCATGAGTCAGAGTCATGGATCATACGTAAGGGCCTTTATGATTTCAGTGGACAATCATGGACAGATAGATACACTAGATAAGATACCAAAACATGAATAAACTAACTGCATGAGTGAAATATTTCTGCTCCATTGGCCGTTAGCAAAGCCAGACAAGACCATCTTGTATCAGTTGTTCTCTGAGATTCCTTCCTTTTTCATTTAAGTGACAGAAGGTCACTCACTAACAGAATACAGACCGTCTGGCAGGCTGTGGATTGTGTTATGCTGCAGCAGCATTTACAAATACGTTATATTTAGTGGTCTGGCGAGGTTAAATACTATTTAGCTCTTCTGTTGCTGGGAAAAACACATGACTCACTCTGTCGGCAGAGTATCTTTAGAGATTTCACAATGCAACAGCAACAAGCTGCCTTTCACCCAAAAAGCCTTACCTGGAGGGTTTCTCTGCACACGTACGCTATCTGTTTCTCCTTTAATGGGCCCGTCACTGTAAAGAACAGTTTGATTAATAGCTCACACACTCAAGAGGGGCTGAAAAAGAAAGAGCCTGCAGGGACATTTCTAAAAATAGTGTAAAACTGGCTTTTCAGGGTTCATTGTGCCTTCTTCCACATCTGTTTTACAGTAATGTAATGTCAAAATGAATGTGGTGATTACAACAGTCCTTACCCAGAGTCAGATGAGAAGATCTAATTCATGCCTGTGTGTCTAGAGATTGGTCCATTAGTGTTTAGCTTAGCTTAGCATAAAGATTGGAATCAGTGGAGGCGATGTTAGCATAGCTGTGTCAAAACAAATCCAAATCTGTCTTCTTTATTAAAGGTTATATGTACAAAATTTATAACAACTACATGCACTAGAGCACCAGCAATTTACACCAAAGCAAATGGGTGCTACAGAATGGGTGCTACAGCCCACCAGACTCCATTGACAAAGCCAGTAATTTAACTTGCAGATAATTGTATAACATACTTCAAACGTGACAGAAACTAAATCACTAAAAACCTCTTTGTTAGTCTTTCCACAGTCTTTTAAACAATCACCAACACTGGTTTGGTCAAAATAACCCCTTAATTCAGAGTTAAATGTGAAAATATTTGTAAAATGGGCTGCTATGGCTGCAACGTAATCCCTGTGCTGGTCAAAGTGCATCCACCAAAAGTGCTTGCTTTTGACACTGAGAGGCTGAGATTGTTATTCTCAGTGTCTGGCAAACATAAATGAAAGGATCCCTACAAAGATAGACCTTTAGTTTAACCAGAAACAGCCGTAATGTTGCTATCGCTCACTACCAGACTCCATAGACAAAAAACGCAAATTTTATCTCGCATATCATCGTAACAACATAACTTCAAGTGTACAGAACCAAAATTAAACTCATAAAAACCGTCTTTGTTAGTCTTTTCACTGTTACAACAATCACAAACTCTGGTTTGCTGGAAATAAATCCTTAATTCACAGACGTAGAGGAGAATAACAGCAGTTTCAGTCGATCTACTCAAAGCCAGCAGTTGTACATGGAGAGACTCACATGCACTAACATGCACATGAAGCCGGACTGGAGAAGTAAACTATGCTCAGGGATCAAAACAGGGATCGTAGCTGTCGAGTCAGTTAATTAAAAAGAAGCTATACACTATTTGTTTGTGTCTGCATTCACTTGTTAACCGCTACAAATATATATGATAAAAATAGCTAATTTAGGATTCAAAATTCAAATGTATCTTCTGTAGTGTAGTATAAAGTAAAAGGGGTAGCCCAAGGCTCCCAACTGGGAACACAAAAGAAGTTTCCATTCTTCCTGATGTGCCAACATGACATAAATGTAATATTTTCACCTTGCTCTGGGTAAGAGACATTTCCACTTATTCTTTAAATCAGGGGTTTTCAAAGTCTGAGAAGTTGGGAAAAAGACGTCCCCCTTAAGTCCGAGACATACCTGCTTTAACTGGCTGCCTTGTATATCCTGCATTTGTTTAGACCGTTGGTTGTGCACAACCTCAGAAAGGAACACGACACAACATGTCTACAACACAAACGCAGGTCTAAACAGCAAGTCTTCAGCTTTAGTTGACTTGCTTGGTTTCGCTCAACCGTTATATGTCTATAGGATCATAATTACCTTATTTGATCCCATAGACACTCGACAATTGAACCACGATAGCCTAAATTGTCCTAAGGCATTTATTAGTTTCTGACTCTGGAGAAGTTGGAAAAACTGTAAAATTCCCCCAAAATCTTCACACACATTTAGGCTATACTATGTGATCTTTTGACAATTAATGTAATAACGAATGTAATATTTTCCCACACCTCCTTCTTTAAAAATCCTCTGCTTTAATGGATATAATACAGGACCTACATTCAGAATTCTTAACATTTATTGTATTTATACCATGATACATGTCCTGAAGTGACCCTCCGCCACAGTACTCCATGCAGATCCACAGCTTGGTGTTCCTAGAGAGACACACACAACCTTTATCTCAGTGTTTGACATGTGCAGTGCTCATTCTCCAGGGCAGGGATTGTGAGAGACAACACTGAAGCACTCGGTATCAAAAGGAAACACTCCCTGATATTTTGACTCTTATGCATGCATCCAACAGTCTCACTCAGCACTAGAGAGAGTGGGAGAGGAATCCAGCAGCAGTGTGGGGAACATAAAAGTCAAATTCCACATATTTCAGTCCACCAACAATCCCAGGAATTCCACACATGTGAGGTTGAAAAACACACAGCACCTGTGGTAGCTGCCGAAGTAGGCCACAATGTTTTTGTGCTTGCACTCCTTCATCATCGTGATCTCCTGCTGGATGGATGTGATGTCATCCCCTGAACAGACAGACAGGTTAGTGAGTGTCTGCTGTAGGAAAATTACAGACCAGTAAAGCATAAGGTGAGACTATGAGTACTGGTATGTAACTTTGGAATACACTTAATTTTACTAACTCACACTGCAAAAATAAATTCAGTAAGCTTTTGAATGTATTCTTGCACAGAATGAGGACGGTGGATGTTACCTCCCATCACATTGAAATTACTTTATGAGTGGGTGAGTATGGACAGAAGCAACCAGCAACTCTTTTAATGTATATCTGAGCATGTCAGTATTGTTTTAAGATAGACTATGATAAAATCATTTTAAAATCAAATTAAATAAGGAAACTTAAACTGTTTGCTGTCTTGCCAAAAGTAAGGACCCTATAAGAATAACAATAATAAAAATAAATACACTAATAATTATAATGCTTTAATAAATGACAATAAAATAAAATAATACAATCTTGGTCACAATCTGTGTGACACTGTACAGTATACATTTGAGGTATGTCAGATTGTGTGATGAATGGTAGTTGAATTGCAGCTAAAAAGTAAACAGAAAAAATCTATATCCAAGCTCCAAGCACAAAAAAGAAACCACTAAATGTGTCCTGTCCTTAGAAACTGATATTGATCTTCTCTTCTGGCTGACTGACAAAGGAATAGTTCCCAAAATGTTAGACTCTCCGTAAATTCAAACTCAAATCAAATTTAAATTCAAATTGCTGATTTGCAAATGATCAGTTGTGAGCATGTTGCGTAAAGTTTGGACAGTTAACATACCAGGGTCGAGCTTGACAATCTTGATAGCTGCCAGTTCAGATGTCCTGATGTTGCGAGCCTGAAAGGGAAGGAAAATACATGACAATCTATGTAATAAATCCATATATATACATTACATACCATTACAAATATATGCATACATTATCCCCTGTTTTTTATACAGTGTAAAACCAGGTAAGTTCATTTAATTAAAACAATTGTTGAAACTGATAACATCAAACTAACTCAATTTTGTAAGTTAAAAGCATTCTTGATTCAGCAGCTTTTACTAGTAATTTTAAGTGACAATGACTTTATTTTCTAATCTTTATTTGTATTGTGAAAACAACCTAGTAAAACGTACTTGAGCAATGTTTCTGTAACTTACAAAACTAGTTAGTGTTGCTTAAAATGTTCAATGTAATCAGTTTCAACAATTTATTTGAGTTAAAATAATGGATTGAAGGATATGCCGAGACTCAAATAGCAGGGTTTGGATGACCACGGGCCGTTCTCATGAAAGGCAGACACATCAGTCAAACCCTTATCAGACTAGCCTCCCGGTACATCACAGTCCCTTACACTGCTGCTGAGTAAAGACAAAGGCAGAATTTAAGACTCCATTTACACCTTGCATTAACATGATTGATGATGTTTTCACAGATTATCTGTCTTGTACTACTGTCAGGATATAGTGAAAGTTTCAGTCAATATGACAAAAAACTTATAAATGACCTACTGCAGCTTTAAGATCCACCTATTAATAGTAGGTGTAAATGCAAAGGGCCATAGATCATCTATATAGATATCCAGATGTTAATACAGTATCAGGTGGAAATAGGACCTAACTTTACACTTTCCAGACCCAGTCAGCTTCCTCAATAGCAAACAGCATCACTTCATCAACATCCAGATTATCTATCTATCTATTTTAAGCAGCGGATGTGTGTCTTATTGGTACTTGCAAATATTATTTTGCTTCATGCATAAACTAATGCAAATTCTCCTCTTTCTCAAGTCAATCGAGATCAACTTTAGCTCCTCACAACTCCAGTCAACCCACAGAGATATAGATAGCAGTGTTCATATGATGTACGTCACATGCATGCCGGTGTAACGACAGAGCTCACTATTGTGGTTTTGAAAGCCTGGGTGATGTGCCCTCACACAGCTGGTGTCAAGCCGCTCTGTGCCCCAGACAAGGCATACATACTGTGTTTTTGCACAACAGTGAAAAATGGCATCACATTTCTTCACACAGTAACCTCAGAGGACATAACAACATCACCATCCAAGAACCAAACCAAAAATCCAGCAGCCATTAGACAACAACTACAAGACTTTCAGCTAGGCTGTGACGAGCACATTTAGTGCGAATAATTAAATTCAACATGTTTTTATTATCTATTGGCATGGGGGTTTCTGGCATCACTTAGTTGGTCTGATAGTTCTTTTAATATTGAACATATTCTGCAGATAATTTAAGATTGCTGCGGTCTCCTGCATGACCTCACCATTGCTATTAATTCTATTTTTATGTAGGGAGGTTCTGATAGCATTTAATCCTTCCTGATAGCTAAACTTTGTGTGTCAGTTGATACAGAGTACTGATAAAAATACTTAAATATATCTATATATCATTATTTTTACATTTCTAACCCTGTATGACTGCTATTGTTGTATGTTCTGGCTCATGTTACACCCTTCGTAAAATATAACCAAATACAATGAATAAATGCCATAGAAACTATTTTTATTATCTAGTTTGACAGTCAACTTGCTGACGTTTAGCTATCTCTGGCTAATGTTACACTCTAAACCAGTGCCCAGTGGCAGCACAGCGCACATAAGCAGCCTTACTCTGTGTGGCTAGTACTGGTTGCCTTTATTAGTCTGTGCTGGTTAGATTGGTTAGGGTTAGGGTAAGAATATTAAGGTAAGCCAATCAGAGTCAGACTAGGGTGGGTCATGACTTTGCAATCCTGGGAAAAGAAATAGTGAACAGGACATTGCTGGGAAGTAGAAGGGTCCTGTTTCAGGGCTAATAAATGACAGTGCATAGACTCAATCATTTATATAATTTACTCACTGACACGGCTCACCTACACAACAACGCACACTTACGAAAATGCACTGACTGATGAACATTCACTTGCCCATGTTCAGAAGGCTTTTGTCAAGTTAAAAGAAGAAAGCAACAAATCCGTGCAGTAACTAGAGCTTATAAATCAAATGTGGCAAATACAAATACACAAATATTCTTGCATTAAGTCCATTGCTGTATCACACACTAAATTTTGGAAACTAAGAGACTGAAGACATTAAGTCCTGGTTGGAGCTCTGCCACCTGCCTGCTCCATCAGGATAACAAAACCTGGGCATAAATCCAACTCCGCAGTATGCTATCTTGATGATGAAGGCCTTATAATTAGTTTAGCCTGCTGTCTTGCCTTGGCTTTAACCTTGCACTGATGCCACAGACAGGGCGAATAGTACTGGCAGAGAGCTCTTTCCTATTGGCACCCCAAGACAAGCCGGTCAGATAGACTGATAGCAGCATCACTTACTTTGACTGTGAGATAAAAAGTAACCTTTCATTTTCAATTCATCATCTGCGATTCATGAAAATCTTCAACAGATTTACTAGCTATCCGGACAGCACTCTGTTAGGATATATGGCTCTACCATTAGATTGCTTGTAGAGTATAATGCTGGTTTTAGTCTATAATGTTCTTATTGGCAGCAAATTCCATGGAAAGCAAAACAAAAGGGATCAAATGGCAAATAAGTTGAACTAGATTCTTTTAAAGGACCAGTCAAACTAGTCCATTAGCAATCCTAATCAGTCCACACAGTCAGGGTAAACCTGTGTGACTCAAGTTTTTCAGAGGTTATGGAGGATGTTGTCTGGAAGCAGCTATACTATGTTTTCAACTTCCTCAGTTCTTCCTGGGAACATCAGTCATCTACACTCCACTACCGCACTGACGTCAGACGGACTGATGTTCACTCTGAGCATCCACAACAAACGAGGCAGCCACCAACGGGATCAACAGGTCTCCTCAACATAACCTGTTGCTTGGCTGCGTTCACTTCCTGTTTTCTTTCCTGTTCTACCACACCACTTCCTGTGACTGCAGTGATAGTAACGTCTCTGAGATGGTTTGGCCTGAAATAACAGCCATTTGGGGTTACATAATGGAGAGAGAGAGAGCAGAAGCTTCACTGCACTTTTTGTTTAGGCACACAAATGACACACAGTCTACGGCTAAACTGTAATTTCTTCATAATGGGACAACACCTTTTCATATTGAATGCACTTGTACAGCATGGGGCATGAATGGCCTCTGAAACAAACATGACTGTTGATGTTAAATGTGGACTTGTTTGCACTCATTAAAGTAAGAATATGTGACCTTTAGACTTGTGTATAACAAATGATAAATGTTTATGAAAGGAAAACTTGAACTCATAAGCATAAATAAAAAACACAGTTTTTGAAGTTTTGCTGCTACAGTCTTAGTTAATCTAGTTTGACCAGTTGCTTATGGTGGCCTGGTAAGATGGATTCTCACAGGATCTCGCCATTTGAAGGTAAAATCCCATTTATATTCTGAATAGAGGAATTTGATTATTAGCCATAATGTCGTAACCATCCAAGCTAGACTGTGAAAACAACTGTACATGCTCCCGTAGAAGCCACTGTATGATATCAAATATCCTTGTTTTAGGGAAAACATGGTATATTTGTGATCTCACAGAGAAGTACAACAGTACTAGGTAGCTAAGATTAGCTAACATGACTAAAAATCCCGTTTATATTCTGAATAGAGGATTTTGTTTATTAGCCATAATGTCGTAACCATCCAAACTAGACTGTTTGCATCCATGGACAGGAATTAGTATAGTATATGCATTGGGGACAAAGTGCAGATCTCCAAACATAGTTCTGCTTTAACCACTGCTCCAAATCACTGCACAAGTATGCTAAAGTACACTCAACCACAGGAGATAACAATGATACTGATGCTTCATCCTGCACCACATTAGCAGTGGTGAAGCTAACCCTGACCATGGGTTAAACTGACAGCAACAAAACAGATGTGCTTTAAACACAGCCTGCTTTTTTAGACATGCAGAGCTGCAGACAACATGGCCACTCACTTGCATTCAGGTGTTTCTTTCTGTGTGACTTTCTGACTCAGTGCTATTATTTCGGTTGACTAGTCAGCCACCAAAATCTATGTAATGGGCTGCCACACGATGTGATGATCAATTTTGTTGAAAAGACAGCATTTTTGTAAATAATTAAAACGATTAAAGATGTTTATTTACCGTTTATGCATAGTCCTGTGTATCAAGAGTATGTGGAAGTCTAACTAGCACCAGCAGTAAACAATGTTATGAAAGCCTACTGACATGTTACAGTGGAGTTCCCCATTTCAGTCAGGTTTTAGCAAAGACAAACATACTATGCCAACATGATGACAGATAAATCCTGACCATGTTTCCCCCAACATCATGGAAAATGTAATACAACTACACACTGCAATGACTCTCTACAATTTCTACAAGTTGTGTGTATGTGTGTGTGTGTGTGTGTGTGTGTGTGTGTGTGTGTGTGTGTGTGTGTGTGTGAGAGTGGGAGAGCAAGAAAGAAGCAAAGACATGGAAAGTGTTCAGAACTGTGCAGAGATTCTGCATTGGGAAATGAAGTTCTTTTGAGTTCTTGCTCATTTTCCAGTTATTAATTACTATTCTTAAAAGAAAGAATGTTTAAACAATAGTTTAAAAAAACTAATTGTGATCAGAAACATTATTTTGTAAAGCCATGTCAGAGAAAATGTATAAATACTGGGAAATAAGTTGTATATAATCATAAGGCTTCAAAGTAAAAAAAAAAAAAAAATGTTTTCATTAATTTTTAAATTTTTGCCATAATCTTAAAGCAGCTGATGTCAGGATGTAGTTAGCCAAGCCTAGAATAAAGACTGGACGTGGTGGAAACAGCTAGCCTGGCTCCAAAGTTAACAAATATACCTATCAAAACCTCTAAAGATCAGTGATTAACACTGGAAC